GTGTGTGTGTGTGTGTGTGTGTGTGTGTGTGTGTGTGTGTGTGTCTGATGTGGGGGCCCTTTGATTTCCTATAAAACCACAAGAACAGGGTACCCTGGAAAAAAGAAGGAAAAAAGACGACAGTTCAAACCTGAAGCGAGGGAATGCTCTAGGCTGCTCAGCTGACCCCAAGAATCGTTCTTTCTGCACGGGTGAGGCCGTTTTGCCTTGAGGTCGTTATTAGCCCAGATAGGTCTTCACATTGCAGGTGGGAACGTTGTTTGTCATTTTGGTCATTCTGTTGTTCAGCATGGTTTAAGCACAGGACAAATCGTAGAACACCTGCGTGCCGTTTTTGTTGGTTCAGCCGGGGCCCTTGGGGCCAAATGCTGAACCAGGGTAAAAACGGGAAGGAGCCCCGTCTCCAAAATGCGGAGATAAAAGCAAGAGAGCGCCTTGCTGCTAAGCAATCCACAAGGCTGATGCTTAGAACATATGTTGCAATAGAATGATATAGACAGGAATTGCTCCCCCCTGATTAGATAGACGACGGTTCAATTAAGTGTTGTTTCAATTTTACCCTTGTGGTGCCCCTTTCAAAGAGTGGCCGGGTTTTGGTTAAGGCCAATTCGGGTTTTAGGGCACGCGGGCGGTTTACCTTCTGGTTCACCTTAGGGGACTGTGGCGACCCTCCAAACCCCGCCTCCCCCTTTTCCCCCCCGTTTCCTCACAATCAGGCCCCTAGTTAAGCAACTTGTGCCCAACTCCGATAAAATCAAAGCTACTTTAGCCACTGTCCTCATGTTGGTGTCCCCTGTCTCCAAAACGATAAAATGACCTTTTTGAGGTTTAAGCATATCAGAAACGCAGGCCATGTTCACGCGTACATTCCTTTTTGGCGTCGCTAGTCGCAGCCGATCTGCCAACAACTCTCAGGGGAGTTCCGATGCCTGGCGCCGGTGGAGCTCAGAACCGCTCTGGAGGCGACGTCTGTCGTTGGTCGAGTCGTGAGAGTTTTGGGAAAGCGCTGAAGCTTCGTGGGGTGTCAGACTTGAGTCACGTGTTTGGGTCAGATGGTGCGGGAAGAACAAAAAATCACAGAAAAGCTGGTTGAAGAATCTCAGTCTCTTAGTTTCAGGACTTGAGTCACCCTTTTAGGAAGATCGTTTTAGTGGCAAACAAACGGTCTAGACTTTTCTGGCCACTCCACTCGATCGGTGAGTAATTCGCCTCACTGAAGGAAGCTTTGGGAAACAGGCTTCCCTCTTCGACTTCCAATCCAAAAGCTCCCAAAGACGCGTTCATGTGCGTGTGGGGGGTTCAGTAAATGGGTCGGTGTCCTTCTTTCAGGTCAGGGAACTTGGCTGGATCTTGCGCGTGGCGTCCAGGTGAGATGGCAAACCCGACTGGACGTGCGCCTGCGCTCGGCAGACCATGGACCTGTTAGCTAAAAACAAGATCCCAATAAGCATATTGACTACATTATGATGTTTAGTTCTTTACTTTGAAAAGAAATGTTCACTCTTAGTATTCCATTTAGGCTTTGTTTATCTTGCCAATCAAAATTGTTGTTATTGTCTCATTATCTGGTTACGGCATATCGTATGACTCTTTAATATGTCTATTGGTATGTCCATTGGTAACCTCTCTTTGTGTTTATCAGATGTCAAATGATGAATCTCCCAATGCAGAGTCCTACACAATGATGGAAGACTTCCAACACTTACACAGAACTCCCTGGATTTGGGGTGTTTTCTTTTTTGCTTCAGATCCTGGGGTAATGGGGTGATGTTTAGAAAGTATGGGTGTGTCTCAAAGGGGACACCGTCCGTTCAAACCAACCCCAAAATAGGCTTTTAAAAAATGGACGAGCCCATATGGCGCGCCCTCTTCACTCTTGTTGGCATGTGTTTAGGTGGTTTGTTTTTTGGTTCTGTTCATTTTTTGTAGGCTTCAAGAAGCAGTCGGTGTTTTGCACGCCAATACCATGAGGGTTGGAAAGAGCACCTACCCATTGTTCTTTGCTGTCCACGGGCAAAAGTGCTGGTAGCCCAAGAGTTCCAAGATGTGAGCCTTTGGTTGGAAAGCGCCCGTTTACCTAGCCTCATGGTTCGTCATATTATTATTTTTTACCCCAAGGTAGGCTCAAACCCAGGGGGAGCCATCGTAGCCTGATGACCAATAAACATTCAGACAAGCCATATTTGCTGGTTTGGATTGGTGCTTTGGGGATTTGAGCTCCTTGCTTTTGTAGAGGGCAGTCTTCAACCACCAAACCACCAACTAGACGGAAGCTGAAATCACCTGCACCACCAGCAAACCACCGAATGATTCAATTCCCGTGTAAATCGACCAACGATAGTATGCTAGGTTCCCCAGCAGTGCCCTTTCTCACCCCTTTGTTTGGGGAGGGTTCCCCCACTAAAACCGACGACAGAAAAAGTCGGTACCTACTTATTATAAGCTCTCAAGTCTGCAGGACCGGGTTTGGCCCCCCAAGATGGAGTTCGGTCTTCCGAGTGGCTTCCCTCAACCAAAAAGGGAGCTCAAAAGAAGATACCTCCAGTGCCTTATATACCCAGGGAAACGGCCAAATTTGTTTTCGAAAAGAGCCATGGTTGGAAAGAATGGACAAGGAATCAACCCGTAGAATACCAAATGATTCTAACCTCTCTAGCGGATGTCCCATGGTTTCTTCGGAGGAGACTTCCGCCGTGCCAGGCTGCCTTGAAGGAGTCCACCGATGAGCTCGCCCCAAGCGAGGCGCTGTGTTGCAAAGAGGCGTTGTTTGGGGTGCTTTTCGCCCAGTGGAGTCCATGTTTGTTGTTGCTGTGTTGCTTTGTTGTTATTTTTGTGTGTGTGTGTGTGGTTTTGTTGTTGTTGGTGTTTTTTTTTGGGGGGGAGGGGAGGGAGGGAGAGGAAGTGGTTTCCCCTCAAGTCAACCCACAAAAATACGTGCGGAATTGTTCCTTTGGGATGAACCAATACATGTAGGCGCCTTTTCCCAGGACAATCCACTGGGCAACTGGCTTCCATTTGCTTAAGAAACTTGTTGTTTTCCTCTGTTGGTGTTAAAAGGAACTTATGACTACTGGAAATATGTTTATTTTTTCCAGGGGTCTTAACCAAATGGAAGAATAGCATATCATGTTTGATGTTCCGAGACACAAGCCTAAAGAGATTTGTAATGAGGGGTCAACCATGGTTAAGGGGGTTCTGGGGAGAATTCTGCAAGGTTACCCTCAGCGTACACTTACATGGCTCTTTCCTTGCTACAAAGGGCCACGCTGCATGTTCAGTGTTTCTGGAAGCTGCCTGGGTTCCTCACCAACATCATCGTTTGGGGTGCCTTTTAACAGGGGGGGGCGGGGGGTAAGCTTTCTGGCTCTTTGGTTGGATCTTTGGACTTTAACTCTTATTCAGCCCACAAAAAGGTTTTCAACTTTTTGCGGAGGGGTCCTTCCAGCAACCAAGTAAAGGGGGTGGGGGCTGAACGTTTGCACATGCAGAAAAGTACGGCATTTACCGTGTGTTCGAAGCAGAGCTGTACAACTCCATCTCTGTGAGCCGTTTGTTTTCTGTTGAATTCCCATATATGTAGATAGGTATCTGTGTGTGTGTGGCTCTGTGTGTGTGTGTGGGTGTTTTTTGTTTGTCTTTTTTGTTGTTGTTGTTTTTTTTTTTTCCGGGCTCCTCATTTTTCAGGGTTTGAACCCCCCGCCTCGTGTCGAGCGTAGCGCGAGTGTCGCGACGTCGGAAGAGGCGGCCACAAAGTCCGTGAAGGCCTTGCTCGCGTGCCCGGAGATCCAGGCGACGGCCTATTCTTTTTCAACCTCTTGGGCGGATCATGTGTTCTTTCGCGCATGGTAATTTGTGCAGGTTCATGTGTTTCTTCTGTGACAGCCAGTTTTTCCATCTTCAGGGCTGAATGCAAAAGCAAAAATGATGTTGGTGGGCAGGTAGCAAAAGTCCTTGAATGCATTTTGCTGAAACAAGACGAGGAAGGACGAAGAAGCTGCTGGTTAATACTCAAGAGAGACCGCGAACCTTTACGGCAAAACAAGCGAAGACACCTGGGTGTGTCTTCGTTGAGGGCACCCCCCAAAATGGTGGGTTTCCCCTTGTGTTTTCCCCTTAAAACCACAACCAAGGGGGGACCCACAACAACAAGACACACCAACACTGCGAAGGCAGGTTCAGACCATACTTTATTTGGATCTAGACTTACGTGGACGTGCGTACGCCTCATGCTGATGCCTTGAGTCCTGGCATCAGCTTCGCCCGCGACTCGCGGCTCGGCCAGGCGGCGCTGTCCGGAAAGCGCTGGGCCTTGGGCCACACGAGGATCTTCTTGAAGCAGGACGCTTCACGCGGTTCGATTTCTTGCTGGTAGGGAAGTGGCTAGTAAGCCGGGCTACAACCCACGGAACAGAGACTTATAAGCATAGCTTTTTGTGGGATGGAACCATGGTTGAGTGGCTCACTTACGAAGCCTGTTTTTGGAGGGTACGGCTTTTGGGGTTGTAGAGGGACACTTACCTTTTGCACTTTTCTTGCTGGTTCTTAGGAGGAAATGAGCTGGGAGTGACCCCTATAAACCATCCCCTATGGTTTCCTTTAAGGGAATTCCGAGGTTTATCCCCTGGTTTTTAGCATGGAATATTCATGACCCCCAAAAACCATCCCTTGTGTTTCCTTTCAGGGAATCCCCTTCCAGTTCATGTTCAACACCTGGAAGGTCATTCCCTTCTGAGCACCAGCAAGTCTTCTCTGACCAGAAAGGGGCGCTCGATTCGGTAGGTTAGGGAAGTGGCTAGTAAGCCTGGTTATAGCCCACGGAACGAAGACTTACGTGGCTTTTGTGGGATAGAACCATGTTTAAGTGGCCCACTTACGGGGGACCAGAAACTGGGGAAGGCAATGGCCAACCCATAGCTCCCAATGGGAATTTGTGTTTTGTTTTTCAAAAATGCGGAGCCCCAAAATAGGATCTTGGTGTTCCTTTGGTTTCTCTTGGTGTGTAGCAGGCAAGACTTGCGAACCTTGGTGTGCAGCTGCGGGGGCGCTGCTGCGGGCGGGGTATGTCCGATCCCGAAACCTGGCCAGCCATAGATCCTGCGGGAGCTGACGCTGCCGCGACGTCTATCCTGGAACCAGGGAACAAAGCCTTGATGCTGGTGTCTTAGGAACGAAAAGGCATACTTGGATGTTCCGCCACGTTAGTACGTGGTTAGCCGCCTGGGTTATAACCCGCTGCAAGGCCGACTCCACTTGAGCTTACAACCGGGTTATATCTTTGGTTACTAAGAACTTGCTAACTTGGCGAATCAAACACCCAGGTAGAACTTGCTAACTTGGCGAATCAAACACCCAGGTAGGCACCAAACTGCAAAATGCTCGGCTTGCTCGCCATGTTCCTTGCATTCTTTTGGCGTTTCGAGCCACGTTTTGCGACTCAGTCCCCCCCCGGTCCCCCCCCGTCCCTCCCCCCCAACCGCGCGCAGTGGGAGCGCAGGAGCACTCCTCAGCGCTGCGGGCGCTGAGGGCGAAGCTCCGCACCAAGAGCGCGACGCGACTGCAGGCCACCCAGCGCCGCATCAGCCAGCGCAAGGCGCTCATCGCTGGGTGCTGAAAGTGGCGATCGATTCGGTAGGTCAGAAAAGTGGTTAGTAAGCCTGGCCATTACCCGCACAAAGTGCTGAGTAAGTCTCCGGTAAGCCTGGGAAGTGGTTGGTAAGTCTCCGTTTCCTGGTAGTATCCACTTACTAAGTACACGTGTCCCCTTCAACTGGTTTAGCGAAAAGCCGCAGGGAGTTTCGTCCTTGAGCAAAATTGCAAAAATCATCCGAGGGGAATCCGAGTCCCAACATGTGACCCAGAAAAACATCTTGGAAAGATACCCGGGCTTTTGCCTCACGTCAGGTGTGCTGCTGGTGGCTCTGTTTTGCGTTTCGCACCTTTTTTTGGGAAACAGGAACAGTGGTGAGACAAACCCAAACCTTGCCCTCCAAGGGACCCTCTGACATGGAACCCTGGAAGATGTTTGGTTTTCTCCAGGGAGCCTCTGGGGGGCTCCATTTGGAGGGAACAGGGAACTGCGTGTTCTGTGGCTCCCCAGACACTTGCCAGAAGTTGGGGCTTTTCTTGGATTAGAGTTAGTTAAACATGAAACACAAGTCATAACTCCGATTTTCCTCTGCACAGTCGGCCAAGCCTCATAAAAAGCGGTTCCACCACTAGCGTTCACTAAATCTGAACCAGAACTCAGGTTTTTCCGATGTACAGACCAAACAGAACGCCTCTTTTCGGTACCCGTGGTCTCCCGGATCTCCCCACCGGTGGCGCGTCACTCGCCCGCTCGCGTTGCGAGGCCTACCTTGCGGTGCGGCGGGGGGTGCTGCGGCTGCAGGCGCTGCTGCGGGGGCAGATGGCCAGGCGCCAGGCAAGGTCCTGGCGCTGCGCCAAGGCGAGGCGGAGGAACTCTCTGCTTTTCAGAGAGCCGGTCGGAGCTTCGAGATGGGGTGGGGGTGGGGGTGGGGTGGGGTAGTGGGGCAGTGGGGTGGGGTAGAGAGCCGGTTGGGGCGGCTTCTGAGAGAGCGAGGAGTGGGGTTGGGGGGAAAAGAGGTGGGGGGGGAAGAGCAACGCAGTAGCACAGGTTTGTCTTGGTTTCATGTTTCCCAGGCCTTGAAAATGACAGCCTCACAACCAGACACACATTCAGGTGATGTTTGGGTGTGCCTTGTTTGACACCTTATTGAGGCTGGTTCAAAAGGAAACCAGAGGTGGGTTAAGTTCCCACAAGGTTACCTTGCGATATTGAGTTGGCATTCACCGTAACCTATCCAACGTTCTCTTTGCTGTCCCTTCAAAAATATACTCCCATTTAAGCAGCGCCCGAAGCCCTCAGTGGCCAGTTTAGTTGGAGGTTCTACATGGTTCATGGTGGTTTTGTAGTTCGGCTTGTCCAAACACTCATCATGGGGTGACTTAGAAAGGTGTTTCTTGCAGGGGAGGGGTATATAAACGGTAGATTTCCGTTTGGGTGAAACCTGGTTCAATAGGGATTATCGAATATAATCCCTGTATGGGTGTGATTTTGAGGGTTCCCTTTATGGGAAAACCAAAAGGACAACCGCCTTTCTTTTACGCTACCGGAAAAGAGACAGACCATATAGAAATTATAGCCATGTTGGTACAACCAAAAGTCAGTGGGCGGTTTTGGGCGTTACTGTGGATGGACGAAATCCATTTTGCACCACCTAAGAAACCCTGGAACGATTCGATTCCCCTGTAAATACCAGCAAAAACAATGGTTTCAACCATGGTTTCAAAGTGGTGCGAATGCATTTTGTCCATCCTCAGTATGGCGCTCCAGGAATTTCAAGCCCTTCTTGAGGTGCTTCCCTGCTGAATTTGAGGTGATTCCCTGTCTGTTTTTGAAGCTAACAAACGTTAGGGTTTCCCATGGTTTCTGGGCGTTGCTGTGGACGGACGAAATCCTGCACCACCCCTGTAAATACCAGCAAAAACAATGGTTTGCCTTGGTTTCAAAGTGGTGCGAAACGGATTTCGCACCCATCCACAGTCATAGGTATCCTTTTGGTTGCTTTACTTAAAAAATAGAAGGCCCTGGTTCACCTGGTGGTTCAATCATCTGTTTTCCAAAAAGTGGTGCAAAAAGGCCATTTAGGTTACCCACCAAGGACCAGGTGAACTCGACTGAACGGGGTACTTATAACAGGGCTCATTAAAAGATACATGTTGCAACCATTTGAAACATGGCTTCTTCAACACCAAAATAAAGGGAAACCACCATTTACACGTTGCAATGTTCGGGTGTATAATGCATCCGGATCCCTGAATAAACGGACCCAAAAGGACACCCCAGGCGGCCACGAGAAGCTTCAGGCGGCCACCAAAGTCATCGCCTTGCTGCGCTCTTGCGCCGCCCTGGCGCGCCGGAAAGCCGCCAGGAGAGTCGGGACGTGAATTCGTTTGCAGAAAACAGGTTCCCCATGCAGCAATGGCTGCACCCTTCCACCCTCAGCAAAACAATGGGGGAGGTCATGTAAAGGTTCCACCTTTAAGGGTGCATGCAGCAATGGTTTTTCATGTAAGGGGATTGTTTCAACCCTTCTACTTGGAACCTCTCACAGTGGGGTTTGCTTCAACGCCCGTTTGTCCATGGCCGCTGGTCTGGGCAAACCTTCGGTGCATTTTGCCAACGGGTGTTAGGACTGAATAACGTTTTGCCAACTAATGGGTTTTCCCCCAGTAAACCACTAAAGGTTATACTCTTTGTAGAGGAGCAGAAAGCAACCGAGAATACGTTTGATTTCCCCTGTTGGGTCATACTGTCCCCTGTTGATTAGCCCGGCTTGCGGGCCCTCTCTCACCCTTTCTTTTTTGGTTGGGAGGGTTCCCCTACTAAAGTAGACTACCGAAAAAAAGGTACCCTTATTCTAACCTCTGTACTGGAGGACCTGGTTCCACTTGGTTAAGAATACTTGGTGGCTCCCAGCCATCCGGTTCCTTAGCCTTTTGGCTTTTTAGTGTTAGTGGTAGTTTCCGAGTTTCACCCACTAAAAGTTAGTCACTTTTAGCGGGGGATCTGAAATCGGGCAGCCCAGGTATATATATATATATAGGGAGGTCAAGTCGGTGAACCCCTGTTGGGAGGTGTATGTTGAATCATATAATCCCATGTGTATCCATTGTTCGACGTGTGTGGGGGGTTAGAAACATTATGACCCGCAGTTGGCAGGCGTGGAAGGATATCTGCTTTTTGTTGAGGGCCCCCTTATTGGGGCGGTGTAACCAAAACTGCAAGCAAACCAACCATGAACTTCGATAGGGGCCCACCTGAAAGGTGTTCTGGTGGACAGGGACTTCACCTAAGTGATGTCCACGGGTCCACTGTCAAAGTTCACACCCAGGGTAGCCTACGAGACTTACTGTCAGAGGGCCCAGCCACTTAAAATTCACTCGCATCCGACTGACCTCCAACATTAGAACTTCCCTATCAAACATTTGTACTTGCATGTTCAACGTAGGCTATAAACGTGCCAATAAACGAACCCCTGTTTCTCTAGGTACAACCACAGTTGTATCCTACTTACATGACGTTGGTTGAACATCCAGGCAAACAGTCACTAACCACAATTCCTAACTATCAGGTTGCTACTGTGCATGGACAGATTTTGCTGCTCAACTAGGATTTAGTAAATTCGCATCCATGAATGGGCTTCGGTTTGCTTGGTTTCTCTTGAAAACCGCCCTATCCCAAAAATCCCTCAAAGACACACTGAGGCATGCGGATGTGTCCTTTCTGTAGGGGACTTTTTGGGTGTTGTTTTAATTATAAGTGGTCAGTAAGCCCACTGAACCGAGACTTATAGCCATGGCTTTTGTGCCACTTGCCTGACGGGATCTGCATCGATCGATTTTCTTTTTCTCCCACCAACTAGCATGGAACCTGACAGGAGGGTCCTGGTTTGACGCCATTTTCCTTTCAGAGGGACCGTTTCCCTGTCAGGTTCCATGTCTCAGTTGTCCAGTGGCACCCTTTTTCCCTGTTTTTTTTGGTGCCTGCCCCACTAAATTGGTCTTCCGCAAAAAGGGTTCCCTTTTTTTCCAGGGTCACTGAACAACTGAGATGTGAAAAGGGTGGGAGGGCAAGTCCGAGCGACCGCCCCAACGATGTCGAGGACCATCGCCCTCAGCCTGCAGAGCCAAGTCCGCGGCAGCAAAAGCCGCCAGCAGTTCCGGGCAGACAAGGACACACGCCGAACGGGGGCGATGGATGCAGGGTACGTCAGGTAATAGTTTGTGGCAACCCAAAAAAGCGTGGATTGTTTTTAGTCTAAGTGGGCTATAAGCCAGGCTTACTAAACACTCAAGTGCAATGCCCTTTAGGCACGTCTCACCTGTTAGTTCCATGAGCCGAGGTGGGCGGCTCGTCTTTTTCGGATACGCTTCCAGTGGTTTTCAAGGGAAGATAACAGGAAACCAACAGTTGTGGGTTGGTTTTTGGTTTTCAAGGGAAACTAAAAGGAGAACCCACTCATTTTGAGGGTCTCAACCATCTTGTCGTGGTTTTGAAGGGAAACCAAAAAAGGAAGCCAAGAATTATGGGGCGTCCCGACCAGGTTTTCAACGGAAAATGAAACGGACACCCACCCGTGTTTAGGGTCCCCCCTATTTTGAGACACACCCTGTTGTATGACCTGTCCGGCCAGTTTATAGCCAGTTTACTCAGAGTTGTTCCCGGGGAACCTAAAACCTAGATCCCTCATGGAACAACACTGCTCCGATTGATGAGCTGATGTGTCGGTGTCTTTTGTTTGTGTCCTAGAAACAGCACTCAAGAGTGCGTCCAGAAGCCCCATTCTTCAACCATGCTCAAACCAAAAATCGGCGGCCGCGTTGGGGAAGAAACTCGTGCTGGAATCTTTCTCCGGGAGCCCTTTCTTTGGGCACATCCGTCGGGGTTACCTGTGGGGGTTTTCTCAGAGACCATCCATTTTGGGAGACCATCCATTGCCTGGTTTGGTTTGGGTCTGTCGAGGAAACAGATGGAGATGGATCAGTTTTCAGTTTTCTCGGACAAGCCATTTACCACCAAGTAAACTTTTAAATGGATCCACAGTTCAAGCTAATGGAACTACGCAGAAGCAATTTCCTGTGATTCCATTTGCCGTCCTCCAAAGACATGATGCCTGGTTGCCTACTAGGGTAGTTTTGTGGGGTTCAACAGAAAAACCCCCAAAATTGTAGATGTCCTTCTTGGTTGTCCTTTAAGCCAAGGCACCTATCGCCCCCAAACATCCCAAGCACCCATCCGAGCAGCGCCCGAAGCCTCTATGCACTCTATGGGCAATTTTAATAGGTGGTTCTACTACCTGGTTGCAGATGGTTTATAGTCCGGGCTGTTAGGTAGTCCTTAACCCGTACCTTGGCTTACAGGAGTCTTTCTAAACATGCTGACTGGTGCGATAGGTCGGGGATGAGAAATGGAATGAACCTGATTCCCGAATCAAGGAAACCTGGAAACCACCAGTTGGATGGTTTAACTCGGGTTCATTCCATTTCTCCTTCCCTGCCTCTCTCGCACCAGCTGAGTCACAGTCAAGCGCGCGCGCTTGAAGCGAGGACCGCGTGCGTCGGCTGCAGCGCTGGTGGCGGTCCTGGAAGAAGCGCCGGAGGTTTCGCAACCTGCAGCGCCTTGGGCCCCGAAAACCCTCCAAGCCGTCGGATTTTTTTGCGCGTCCCTAGCCCAGGAGATCCACACGGAAAAAGGTGGAAAAAAAGAGAACTGAAAAAGCGAAATTCGGGTGGTCTTTTTGAGTTGTCCATGCTTGGATAGGTTGTTCCTCTTTGTTCTTTTCTTTTTTTCCTTTTTAGGCCATCTCTTATTTCCGTGTTTACATCGCCTTTTGGGCCAGCTTCACGTGAGTGCCGTTTTGGGGTGATGCTTAAAGGGGACATATAGCTGGGCTGAGGGCGGGCCACGGCTGCTTTGTTCAAGTCAAGGTTGCCTTGCTCGTGGGAGGCAAACAAATAACTCTCAACGGGGTGCCAAAGTCAGAAACTGGGAAAGCAAACTGTTAAATGTGTTCCCTGAGCAGCTTATCTTGTTTCTGGATGAATTGGACGTGAACAAGTCCGCGCTTCGTTTGCCAGAAGCTGCAATACCTACAAGGGGCCCTAAAACCCACCCACCCACCCAAACAAAGCGCCGACACCCTAAGCCTAAACCCCCAAGATAGGTGCCCTTGACCTATTGTAACAAGCACACCTAAAACAAAACAAAAAAAAAAACTGCAAGAATCCAAAAGTGTGCTCTTGAAAACCACCCGACCCTCAAAGAAACCCACCCAGCACTTCAGTTGCAAGTAGAGGAACCAGGGGAAACCAGTACATGAGGCAAGAAACTCTAGTTACTGGCGTGGCAACTCCCGAATATCCGAGCCACCCCCAATTTTACCCCTCCCCCGCGCCAAGCGTCCATCATACCCCTAAAAAAACCGGGGTCTGTCTTCTTTTCGGGATCCTCCAACAAAGCTTCTGTTTTTCCCCTGCCTTTCCCCTTCAAAACCACCAAAACAGAGGTACCACCTCCCAAAAAAGCTCCCCCCCCCCCCCAGAAAAACGAAAGTGTGTTGTTCCCTGGTTCCCTCAACTTTCCCCCCCAAACACGAGGCGCTTCACCTCCCAAAGAAATGCTGAGCCGAGCTTTCAGGCAGAGCGTGCTGCGCCTGCAATGCGCCTGGCGCGGCCACCTGGCGCGCCGCGAATCGCAGCGCCGAAGCCTGCGGCGCTTCGCCCTGACGCGCGCAGTGCGCCGACCTTCGGCGAGTGGGATGGGGGGGGGGGGGTCATGATTTCGAAGGTGGCCTCCCCGCTAAGAAGCTGCGGGGGAGGTGGTGTTTTTGTTTTGTTTTTTTTGAAGTGGCTGGTAAAAATCTCTGGGCTGGGCTGGTGTTTCTTTCTAAGGTGGCCTCCCCACTGGGATTGGGGACTTACAACTCCGGCGCCCGTTTTCCTGTCGCTGGATTTTGGTTCTGTTTCGAGGGCTCAAAGTCGGAAACTGGAAGCGGCGTCCCTCTAACCCACTGATCGGGGGTGGTTCAGACTGGGAGAGGCCCTTGTTCGGGCAGCGCGAAACGCGAAACCCCAAAGGACCCCATGTTCGCGAGGAAAAAAGAAGCGCGAAAACAGGAGGGAAAAATTGGGAAGCGAGGAAAACATGAGGGAAGCAAGGAAAAGTTGGAAATGACATTGGAAAGAAAGGGAAGGCATGAAGTTAATTTTCTCAGTCAAGGACAGGACTGGGTTATCCATTTCGCAGGAAGGCTGATGTTCCGCAACTACCCAAGTCCTTTGGACTATGGATAGATATATATATATATATATACATATATATATATATGTATAGCCTTGGTTGCTACACTGCCAGGGCAAAATTTGCGCCTCTTGGCCCGTATATCTTCCAAGTTGGTGCCGTTCCCTTGGCGCGGTCGAATTTCCACACTCCAAAGCCTTTGAAAGTATTTGAAACTTAAAAGCGGGTGACAATTGACCATCCCACTCCTGCCACTCAGAAGGGAGTTGGAACTTCGATCCGCGTGCCACCCACGCGGCTCTACAGAAGCAAGCAAGAGGCAGAACTGTTGTCCTCCTAAAATAGCTCTGCACCAAGTAGATCACCTCAAAATCAAGGCCCGTTTTGTTTGTGTTTTTTTTCATGGACCTCATGAGGATGTAAGTATGTGTTTGCCCGAAGTCCCAGGGTTTGATTGGATCTGAGCCACAATCACAACCTGCATAAACGAAAGAAAGGTAAGGGACAACAACAGCCAGAAAATGGTGTGGCCACCCTTTCAATTCTTTTCTAGGTAAACATTTTTATTACCACGCTTTGTAGCTCACATTGGGATTCGACCCGGTGTTCCTCGACATGTCTGGTGTTGCTGACGCCCTGTTTTGGGCGGGTTTTGAATGATCTCATAGCAACACCCATTGGCCATGTTACTACGTGGTTATACCTTGTTTAATTGGGATTACCAAAAGCCTGCACAAACCTAAACAGCGTTGTTGGTAGAGCCAAAGGGCAAATGAGTTATATAGCAAAGGCTACATAAGCCTTAACAACCATGTTGATAGAACCAAAGGCCGATTGAGTTACACACAAAAGCCGACAAGAACATAGTAAATACAGCGCATATATTGTTTTACAACCATGTTGATAGAGCCAAAGGTCAAATGAGTTATATAGCAAAGGCCATATGAGCCTCAACAACCATGTTGATAAAACCAAGGGTCGATTGAGTTACATACCAAGGCCGACAAGAACCAACAATCAGTTGAGCTATATAGTAGAGCGCACACATTGTTTAACTACAATGTGGGTCGAGCCAAAGCCCAGTTGAGTTGTATGCTACAGCCTGGTTTAATGCTGAACAACCATATTGGCAGAAGCAAAGGCTGTGCTTAACAAGCAGATTGGTAGTCCCAAAGGTCAACGAGGTCTAAGTAGACTTAAAATCCAAAAAGCTTTGTCAAAATCACAACAATTTTGTAAGGTCCCCTAGTGGTAGAACCAAAGGTCAACGAGCTTTCGGTCTACTCATTTGAATTCCACGGGCCTTTCGGTTGCAGACCGAAACCGAGGACTGGTGCGTTTGCGCCGCCGGAGGCTGGCCGAGCGCGCGTGGCGGGCCAAGATGCTGGAGCGCAGCTGGGCCAAATGGCAGTCTCGTTTTTCTTGGAGGTAGTCTTTATTGCAGAGTTTCGATCACATCATTGGGGTTACATCTATACATGTAAATATTGTTTATTGTTAGTTTGTTTAAAAAGTGGAATGTATGTGCTGAGCCCCCCCCCATGATCTGCCTTTTGCATAGCATTCCTGTTTGTTTGTGTCCCATCTGAAATCCAAAGCACGTGTTTCTTGATAGATGTCCCGCCTGCAGGTCATTGCACATCACTCCTGCCTTTTTTGTGTCCCAATTGCAAATTTACATCAACTCTATGCTCTTTGCAAGTAGAACTAACTTCTTGCCAGAGTCCATCGATATTAAGTTCTACGCAAAGTCTACTTGATTTTAATTAAGATCCTTTTGCAAAAGAACATCACATTTATATTCTGAATCCCCAAAAAAACTATTTACACATAGTCTTAGCATCGTAACCACCATTCCTTACCTCTGCTGATAGATCCATTGGCATAGCGCACCGTGGCACAGGCGGGGTCGGGTCCTAGCTCCCTCACGGACACAATCGTCAGGTTCTTTTCAGACAAAGGAAGATGTCATCAGATGGAGAAGTCTTCATCGAGGCCTACAGAAGTGCAGGCGCAGAGGAAACAATCAACCTGTCAATGACTGCCAAGTTGCCGCCATTGCGCGACGGACGTGTCAGCTGGCTCAGATATGAGGAGCTTATAGATGATTGGACCACGTTCAGCCAAAAAAGTGGGTCTCCTCGAGAGAAGACTGCGCTCATGTAGCGAGAGTTGCTCGACAATGATCAGCTCAGAGATCCCGTTGAGGGAGTGAACTGAGGGAGTGAACTACTTCAAGTACACGCTCAAGAGTATTTCCTGAAAGGAGCCACAGAGACTTCTTAAGCTTCTTCAACCACAGAAGAAACAGCATCAAGTTCCTCTTTCTACACAACTCTGGCTTAATACAGGGAGTATTATTTTGAGGGACCGATTGTTTGGGTTCCATGTTGGTTGGCAGGGTTTCTAGGTGAATGATACGCTTTTGTGCAGATCGTACAGCCTGTTGCCCTCAACCTGGCAACAACTCTCGATTCATTCCTCCGAACAAGCGGCGTCCTTGTGATTTCCTTGGACAAAGATAGCAAAAGACACACGCACACACAGAAGGCCTGGTTTTGAGCTTAGATATGCGCGCAACTTGTAAGGCTACCACCAGGCTGCGGTGAAGAGGCGGAGTTCAATCGTCTGCAAGACATCAGCTGCCCCTTGGCTTCAGTCGAAACGCCTTCTGTACCTGACCAAATGGAAATCATGAATGTACAGGTGGACAATCTACGAACGCCTGTTTGACCTTAGGCCCCAAATCTCAGGGCGCCTTGTGGCCTGCTGAACATGAACACCTTTTTTGTGGGGGCGGGCTTCGACCTTCGCCAAGGGGCCGTTAGGGGAAGTTCATGAGAACAGTTCTTGGCGTTGCTTGGCTGTCACGGCCGCTTTGTGAATGGCCGAAACAACATGAGCGTGTTTGTTTGGTTTAAAGGGAACCATACGGAAACCACCATGTTTGGGGGCTCCCCCTTTTTGACAAAATTATTTGAACAAAAAGCATCGGCATACCCGGTGATCCCATTTACCCGTAAAGGTTGACCAAACTTGACAAAAACACGAACATAGCTGGTTAGCTATCGCAGCAGCAGCAATCCACTGGCAGTTCTTCCACTGAGGCAGCCGAAGTGTCGGCTCACATGTCACTTTTCGAGCAAAGTCTTGGGAATTTGGGGGAGCTTGCGGGGATCCAACTTGGACCTTTTTGGTGCCCCCGCCCCTTTCAAAAGCGGCGCCCAAGGGGCCAGAATCCCTTTGCCTCACTAAACCGGAATCCTGCGGTTTGGCCCCTTTGACCTATTTTTGTTAAGCTAAACCTGAAACAGTTGGCCCGGGTTTTCGGTTTTGGGATGGCGAAGCGGCAAGCGGCAAGGAGTTGGTGAGGGAGGTGATGGAGCTGCGCCAGCGGCTCGCTTTGAAGCCGAGGGTTGTGGCTCGGGTGGCTCTAAATGGTTAGTTTGCGAAAAGGAACTCAGCTGTTCAGTGGCCCCGATTCCTTTCCCCTTTTTTTGGTGGCTGCCGCACTAACATGGCCTTCCCAAAAAAGGGTTCCCTTTTTTCCAGGGTCACTGAACAACTGAGGGAAACCTTTCCGTTTTGAAACACATGAGCATCCTAACAGGGTTGTCGTTGGGAAGCATGTTTTCCCATTTTTGTTTGTTGTGGTTTAGTGGTTGAAATCCAACCACTTAACTGCTAAAAATTGAATTTGTGCTCCCCTTCAACGTCAACCAAGGTTAGTTTACGAAAAGGAAACCTTTTCGTTTTCAAACACATGAGCATCCTAAGATGTCTTTCACGACTTCGAAGGTGAGGCTTGGCGGTAGTTTCATTGTCATCTGTAGCAAGTACTTCGGACGAAGAAAACGGTCTCCCAAACATAAAACCTGGCCCTTTTCTGACACCCCGCCCAACAAATGGGCGGGGGGGTCTTCGTTTAGAAGAGCCCCAAAAATGGTGGTGTCCCCTTTGGTTTCCCTGTAAAACCAACCAACAGAGGGTTCCCCAGAAAACAACAAGGCCAAATGTTGTCCTAGCCTCAGGGTTCCTCTTGTCTTCATTCCCCCTAGGCTGAATCCCAGGCGGAGCCATAGCCTGATGGCCAATGCTGAGCTCGCTCATGAAACCTGTCAAACCAAGGTGGATCCACAAGTCTTGCAAATGCAACCTGGGTAAACTGCACGAGAGGTTTGCCAAACTTGGTGGCTCCCAGCCATCCGGTTCCTTCGCTTTTTAGCTTTTTAGTGTTTAGTGGGGGTTTCCATTTAACCCAGGGATCCGAGGAGAGCCCAGAAAATGAGTGTTTCTGTGCCAGCTTCCCCGTGGCTCTCCGCAGGTTGTGCGACGAGCAGCAGGAGGAGATCGAATGGCTGGAGCAGCAGAACAGCACCTGGCGCGACACCATCGAGGACCTGAGGCCGATTCGCTTCCTGAGTTCCGCTTCGGACTTTAGGTCCCCCAGCTAGGTGCCGTTTTTGTTTACCGTTTCTTCTTGGGTTGGGAGGGTTGCCCTACTAAAATTGACTACAGAAAAAAGGGTACCAAATTATTCTAACCTCGGACCTAGCTACACTTTTTGGGAAGACCATTTAGTGGCAAACAAAAGGTTTGGACTGTGTTTGGCCAACCCACTCAATTGAGGAGAGCGAGAGAGAGAGGATTGGTAGAGCGAGCAATTGGCTGAGTGAGTCAAGATCAAAAAGGGCTTTTCAAAGACAATCCTTCATCCTTACCTTGGGTTACCCGCAAAACGGATGGTGAGCCGAGTCTCGTTACGAGTTTGGGACTTGACTCATCGGCTGTTGGCCGAATCCTAATCCGCAATCCTACTTGGACGTCCGTTGCCAGCCAAGTTGGCGGATGACCGCCTGGGTTTTAACCCACTAACAAGGTTGACTCCACGGGGAGACTTTTGCAACTTTGGTTAACAACTTACTGACTCGGCGAATGACACCGTGGACAATCACTCAAAGGGGTCCAAATCCTGTCGACGGCCAAAACTGATGGGGGCTGGCCCGCAACTAATGCTCACACCCAAGAAATGTGTTGAGATTTTGAAGTGTTCGTTCCCCTTTCCTGCTTGTTGGAGCGCGGTGGGTGAATTTACAGTGGATCCAGTTTTCCCCAAAGGTAGGCAACCAGGGGGAAAGAACATGTCGAACCTAGAGGTGCAATTCCTAGTTGCCTGCTACCCAATCATTGCCTGGGGCGATGTTTCAGGTGCAATATAGAGAGCCCTACTTGTGCCCATCAAATATGCGCCTCTCCATCCGCTGTAAAACGGCTAAAAGAGCCCGGGAAGATGCCTATGGTTGCGGCTGGTCGAAATTTGCCCTCTCACGGGCGAACATGGAGCCCACCATGAAAATTGTCACCAGTCAGGTTCCAAGTCTAAGTGGGAGCTTAGCCATCTACTGAAGCTTAAGGGGAACGAGGGCCTGTATACAACAAACTAGGATGAATTTTGGGGCACTTTAGAGGGCTCTCATTCCTGGATACATTTGTGCATGCGTACGGTGTATCTCACTGAATATAGGGGTTGATCCAAAGAACATGGAATGACCATTGGGGGAAAACCACTAAAAGATGATATGTCCCACTAAATGGGGAAAGTTAATCGTGGTCATTTGGGGGGCAAAAAAAATGATCAACTGCTATATCCCCATGATTTGTTAGGAAGGATCACAGGTACTATGAAAATAGAGGCACCATGCATGCTGTGAATCCGCAGGTGACCTGGCTTCGTCTCAGAATTAGGGAACCCAGAAATGTTGTGCGTTATCTGTTGGCCTCCAAGACTGGCCAACAAAGTCCCCCCCAACAAAAAAAGCAAACATAACCCAGCCCAGGTGGTATCTCCAACAGCAACCTTGGTACCCTCAGGAACTCTGTGAAAGCGTTTGCAAACCACCCCAAAGCGGCCACAAAGCTAATTGAGGCCTATCGACCCCATAGCTTTCAGGGAAAAACAGCTGCACGTGAGCTGGGGTCTCAGCTTCCTTTTGGTTCTAAACCAACCCCCAAACAGGGGATCCAGTATCTCCAAAAACGAACCAAACTCCGAAAGGCAATTCTGTCGGACCAGGCACCGCGCTTGCTTGCGGATCCGCAGCTTCTTCCGCTGAAGGCTGAAGGCTTTGGCGAACGGGTTCCACAAATTGAGCTTGGTAAAACCCGCCTCTCTGATGCAGGTGCGCTTTACTTGGGGATGTTCTTATTTCCGGCTTGGGCATCTTATTGAGATTGACTTCGAGGAAGCTGAATAGAAGGCAAGGCCCTTGATCCGCCGTTTCAGACCAGCCGAAACACTTGCAGGACTGGTCGTTTGGATGTTGAAATTGGGGACTCCTGGGATACTTGGGGGTTGCTGCGGACTTTGAACTATTGGGGAAGATCGGAAGAAATTTTAGTGCAAAAACATGGTGGTTGCTTGTTTTGACTATTCGAGACGTGAGATGTCTGGCCAGTTTTGAGGGTTGGCATGGGACAACGCGCAAGGCAGTTCCGAACTTCGAGTTCCAAGAATCTGCGTTTCGTATGTTCCTACGAAGCATCACACTATGCTGTGTTACGGCCGTTTTAAGGGTGGGGAGGCCGTGGTTTATCAGCGCCTTTACGATTTCGGCGTGGAACTGGAAGCCGGTTCAGATAGCTAACAGCTGACCCGGACATCGAGAAGGTTGCTGGTATCAAGCCATGGGTCAGCAGGCTGCCTGTCGCTGCCAGGTCTGCCACTGGTCGCCACATTTGAAAGGCCAAAGCACGCCCCGGCGGATTTTTTTACCGCAACGGCGCGCGTGGAGCCAAAGATCGGAAAAAGCAGCGCGGCAACTGGCAAAGAAGCAAAACAAACACCAAGAGATTGCTTGGTGGCGAGCCCAGCCATCCGGTTCAACTTCGCTTTTTTGGATCTTTCTAGTGTGGAGGTGTCCATGAAACCCACGAACAGTTGTTCACTTTCAGCGGATCTGAAAACGGGCAGCCCAGATTGGCAAGCCGTCATACTGTCGTTGCAGCGGGGAAATGATCCATCCTTTGCGTCCATCCCTTTCTCGCATCGAAAGGTAACAAACCAGCGATTTGCAGAGCGGGATCCTTTTGGATCCAACTTGATCGGCTCCTGTTGTTGAGCAATATGTGTGTTTCCCTGCTGCCTATGGCAAGCAAGCACGGAGAGGGAGCCTTTTCAATGGGTATGAGGTCCCTTAGTTGCTGCGCCAAACAACTGCGTAAGATGATGTAGACGATGGGAAGGTTAGGATGCATGTCCAGATGGCCTCCTTGGTTGGTCTTCTTGCCTGGGTACGTGTTAGGTTGTCAAACGTAGAGGTCCTTGTTGGCTGACCCTTTTTGATTGGTGACTTTTAGGGCTGTGAAAGGGAGCAACACAATACTGTCAGCTTAGATCTGTTTTGCTGGACAGGAAGCGGGGAGTCAAGTCATTTGAGGCCGGAAGTCACGTGCTGCAGGGTTGACCCCTTCTAAACATTCCCTGGTCCAATGCCGTTGATTTGTGGCAGGTCTCTTGAAAAACAGAGGCAAAAACGCAACCAGTGAGCCAGTCGTTTGTCCATGTTTCTCCTGACTTGGCCTTTTTCGTTGGTTCAATGAGAGTGACCAATAGGTTGAAGAACCAATAGATTGAAAACCTGCGGCTAGCCGCGAAGCCGCAGGCTTGCCAGCTGACAGGCTGGCGGAGGGGCAAGTGGGCCTTGCTAGAATTAGAGTGCTACTGTGAGATGATAACTATACCACTGCACTGTTGAAAGCAGAAACATGTGTGAAGGATTACCATATGTGTATATGACTTCCTGAGGTGGGTCGGGGGTAGTAGCGGCTGGTCAGCTCATGGCGGCAGAGCGAAAAAGCCTGGGGTACCGTTGCAAGAAGCTTGAGACATCGTGTCAACTTCCATTTGCTTCAGTTGTTTTTGTGATTTCCCATTTGTTTAAGAATCTGTTTGATTTCCCCTTGTTGGCTTCAAAAGGAAGTGGTCTCTACCGGAAATATGTTGACTTTTGTCCAGGGGTCTGAAACCAAATGGAAGTCAAGGCCCACTCACTCCAGCTGCGGGTGGTGAACACAAAAAAAAAAGGCGTGAGGGGCCCGGAGGGCATCTGTTTGTCGAGTATCCCAGTTTCTGCCTATTCTTTCTTCGGCGTGGTATTGATGTCCACCTCATGATGCCAGTGGTACCCCTGGGTTTCTGTCGACTGGGCCGGTTGTTTGCCCAGTCTGATCCATGTGGGGTGGTCAGAGGGTTTCTTCGAACCTGTCCAAGATCTACCAAAAAGAGTCATTCAACAAACTGGGAGCAGTTTCTTCCCATTGAGCTCGGAGGATGTCACTGTTGCGGGATCCAGTCATGATTCAGGGGTCGCCCTAAGCAGGGATTTTTGTGAGGTTGTGCAGAGTTGTGCTTTTCACGATCTTTGAGCGTGTGATGGTGATGCTTACGGATCTTGGTGGCTCCCAGCCATCCCCTTAGCTTGTAGCTTTTCAGTGTTTAGTGGTGGTTTCTATTCAACCCACCAAAAGTTAGTCACTTTTTGCGGGGGATCAGAAATCGTGCAGCCCAGAGATAAGCGAAAGCAGATGACAAAGTTCCCAGATCTTGGTATAATCTCCTTTACTCACTCCCTCAGTTTGCGGACACCTCCACGTGTTGGGAGAGAGATCTTGTTCGTGGCAATGGAAGGTTTGGACTTTTCGGGCTCCACCCAAAAAGTGCGATTACTCACGCGTGTAAAAAAAAGAAAAGTTGTACCATCCTGTGTTACGGAAAGGGTACCCTCAAAAGCGGCACCCCTTTGGATTCCTGTTTTTTCTCCTCAGGCTTGGACTCCAAGCAGTCGCGCCTGAGCCTAGCGAGGGCAGCCTATGGCAAGGAGGAGCCGTCAGATCGAAGGAACGCCTGATCCAGGGAACAAAGAACTTACCTCTTAAAAACACAACTTTTCAACTTTTTGGGGGTAACATGGGCTATATGTCTGTAAAAGATTAACTTCCCCAAACCTTGGAGTTTTAAGGGGTAAGAGAAACAACCCCCATTCACAAGACGGGATTGCCCCCTTTTGGGATAGAATCCACTTGGCTGAGATCAGCAACAAGTCCGAGCCAGGAGCTGGTGCTCATGGAAGTGCCCTTTGGCGAAGACATGGAGCACATGCTGCAGGCCGAAAGAGATTCGCGGGAAAGAACGGAGGGTAATCAAAGAGAATGCTAGGGCATCTGATACAAACGCAAAAGTCCATGCCCTTTTTGAGTTTCCTTTTCGGACAATCGAAAAACATCTCTCTCAACAACATGACTCAAAGAACAGGCCCATCCCTCTCCGAATAAAATGTACGGACGGGGGCCGTACCCCCGACAGAGGGACAGTTTTCCCTTTCCGGGTAGCGCACTTTCGCACCTGCGCACTTTCGCGCTCGTTTCACACTTGCCAGGGAGAATCAACTCACAGGTGCGCCAGCAACAAATCCTATGTTCGACCACTTGATGTTCCGCAACCACGTCAATTTCCGGCCCTTTGGAGACCTTTGAGGGAAACCACCTATGCAGAACTCTAAAGCTTAGGGACCTAGAACAGGGTTTTGGGGTAGCAAACCAACTTACCTCATGTAAGACGAATGTTTTGAGCCGCCAGGCCTTCCGGGGGGGGGGGGGGGCACCCTCTAAATGAATGGCCACACTAAAATTCACTTTTGAGGCTCAGGGGGGGGCAGGGGGGCGAAGTGGTCTTCGGGTCAGGGGTTGCAACTTTGATTTGGATCACGCCCTAACACCCAAGAAAGCTCACCTTGAGCCCTTCCATGGGTTTCTCTGTGTGCTCACCTTGAGCCCCCCATCCCCCCCCCCACCGAGTGCCAGGTGCTGCGAGGTCCGCTCTTCCTCGGGCGCAGCGTCGTTCTGAGCTGCGAGCGCTTCGACCCGGCTTTTGCGTGCGCCGGCCCGGCGCTCGAATTCCGAAACCGAAGGTTTGGGAAGGCAAACCGAAGGGGCTGCTCAACTAGCCATGTGGTAGGTATAAAGGATGATCTACATGTATAATATACATATATATATATATATATGTAATTATATGTATCTGTATATGTATCTATACATACCAACAATTAGGGATGTATACATATAGATGGGTGGATATGTTTGCCATCACAGAAGGGGTGTATATATATATATATACGCTGCCCCCCGACGACGAAAGCCGCTCCTCCTTGACGACCAAGAGAACACTGAAGAAACCTGGTTCCAGGCAGAGATGGCGCCAGACCTTTTGTTCAGTTTGTTCAGACTGTCTGGGAGGCTTGTGTCTTGCCTACTGCCAAGAAGGCTCAAATTGCCATAAATACTCGTGAGTTCTTGGGAGATTGGGGTGTCGGGCCGGGGGTTTACCACAACTAAACACATCCTTTCCAAGCTTTTGGTGCAAGCAAGCAGGCCCCATGTGCCAAGCTTTCTGCTTGCAATCGAGGCGAAATTCAACCCCATGCTTGAGCCCTACACCGTTCCATTCGCCAACAGTCGGTGAGAAGTTTGGCCGAGGCCTCCGCATGCTTCACCTGACGAACGGCGTGCTTCAGGCCTTCGAGTTCCGCTTGGGACCGGAGACGTCGTTAGACCTGGATGAAAGAATTTGAAGAAGAAAAAAATAAGGATACATAAGAATCCTTAGAAAATAGATAGAGTTGCAGAAATTTTGTTGAAATGCATAGTAAGAATGATATGACTAGGATTATTATATGAATCAGCAGAGTACATTTGTTCTCTTTACTATTTAGATAAATAAGAATCCTTAGAAGAAGAATTATAGTTGCGGAAATTTCGTTACACACAATGTCAACCTTGGTTTAGGGTTTGTTCACGTTGAATACCCCTTACCAAACTGAATGAATACATAAGGAAAAATCAGAATCCCCTTACAAAATAAATCTAATTGCAGACAATGTGGCTAAAAAGATAAGAATAACAAGTTATCAGCCTTGGTGTAGGGCGTGTTCATGTTGACCAAGAATGTGTTGTCTGTGTCTGTGTGGTTGTTTCCGTTGTGTGTGTGTGTATGTTGTTGTTCAAATGACAAGTTGTCCAAACTCACAGTACATACATATGTTTCTCAAAGGGAGAGTGTCCGGTTGGTTTCCCTTTAAGCCAACCCCAATGGGTACTCTCCAGGGTATGCCGAGGTTCACATGTCGTGCTCTTGTTGCCCAAGCGTGTCGCGTCCACTGCGCGCGTACTGAGGGATGGCGATTCCGAAGAAATCACCGTGTGATCAAACCACAACTGTTATACCTTACTCCAAATATGATGCTAACCCTTGCCGAAAAAAGAGTTAAAGGGAGTTTTTAGCATTGGCAAGTCGAAGTCCAACCCAGCCCCCACTGAAGAGGCAGGTCCAACATTCGCGGTGATCCGGCCTTTTGATTCTCATTGCGACAGTCAGGGCCAGGTTTTGCGACTCAAACAGAGCACATTCGCTGGGGCCCCTTGGATGTTCGGCCAAGTAAGTGGTTAGCCACCTGGCTTACCAACCGAGAACAAGGTGAACTCCACTTCCGGGGCGTATCACCACTTAGGTTACAAGCAACTAACGCGAATTGAACACCCAAGTATCTGAAGGCAGGCGCTTGTGTAGTGTCGACCCGATGTTTTTCCTTGGGCGAAAGAGGGGAGGGGGTTCCCTCGAGAAGAGAATCCTCTTTGAAATGGGACACACCCGTCATTAATCCTTAGTTGGATTTCAACCAACTTCGTGAGTATAGGTTCTAACTCAGGTTGTAGCTAGGGCAACTGGGGCTGAGGCCTAACTACTTTCAAAGTCGCGGGCCTCCTCAAGATATTGGTGTTGTGAGCACGCAACATGCATAAAATGGGCCAGAGCCACTTCCAATTTCCTCGGGGAACGGTTTAACAGCAGGTTCCAATCAACAACTCATGGACACTGCATCCGATTCAACCCATGTCCCGCGTCACCCAATTTCTCTTGCCAGGAGGGCCCAGGCTCGCTTCCTACGCAGCTTCCACCGGACTGGAGAGCCGACGGTTGGCCCCTTCAGGCCAGATCCAACGGATGCATTCGGGCGCTTTGGTTTTTGATGGCTACCCCTTTTTTTGTGGTGGTCAAGGGAAACCAAAACGAACACCGAAGACCATTTTTGTGGTGGACTTTTTGGGTGGTGCTTAAGGGAAACCAAAAAGAATGGGTCCCCAACAAAAGAGACGAGCCGACCTTTGTTTGGTGGACGGGCAGGCCTGGGCATCGGATTCCGCTTCCTCTTTGCCAAAACGTCTATCTGATTATGATCACCAGCACACCCCCAAAAACGCCTGGGTTCGGTTTTTGAGCCGTTGGTTAAATTTGGGAAGGGACCCAAAGAAGGGACGCCAACTCCTCAAGGGTTTGGCAGTTCAGTGGACCCTCGTAGCCTCGGAGCCGATCCGGATGTGTTTTTTTTTTTTTTCAGACGGGGTAAATGAAAGCGGTTTGAGCCTAACAGGGTAGGCTTTAGGCTATCTTAGATGAAACTTCTAAAAAAATGATTCCCTGCTAAAAGAATCTGGGGGGTTGGGAGTAGGGGAACCCCCACGTTTGCCGCGGGCCAATAGATGAGCTTTGTTGCCAAGGTCGTCTTGTTGAGTGCAAGACGGGTTGCTGAGCCCCGAAGGGTTCTTGGGCTTGCTTTGCAACAAGGTTGGGCAGACAAGCAAGGTTTGCAAAATGTGTGTCAACAACCCGACAGCACCCATCCAAAGGCCAAAAGGATGATGCCGGTCAAAGAATAGGTGGTTGATTTCGCATATTAGGTATGTCTCTTTGTGATGGTGTCCGTTTGGGATTGGTTTAAATCAAAGAGAAACCACAGGGAAGCCCCCATTTTGCAGGTTCCCCTATGTTGAGACAAAAGCCAAATGTAGACGGGGGGTTGGCCCAAGCTGCTTTGGAATCTTTACAGATTCTTTTGAGGAGTTCTCATATTGAGGAGCCTTTAGGGACCCCACTCCAGTTGCGCGCTTCCTGCAGGCCAAGCCATCGCCGGTGGGCGAGCCGGTCGAGCGAAGCAGCTGCGCAGCAGCTTGCTGGCTGGTTGCCTTGGTGCTGACACTCTTGGCTGATCAGGTTTCTCGGAAGCTTGGCGATGAATTCATTGAGAACCCGAGTGGCTGTTTGGATCGTGCTTCGCAAGTGGCGAAGCTTTTTGGGTGTCTTTTGAAAGTCGTTTTGCACATTCCGACTACATGCATTCTACATATTGTATATGTATATTATATATATATACATGTATTATGATTAGTTTTACGTTTATTATTATTATTATCAGTATTATTACTGTTATTGTTATTCTTACTATCTATATATATATATGTTGTGTATATGCATGTATGAACATATCATATCACACTATGGAACCGCTTGGAATCTTTTTCGCGCTCTGAGGACGGCCATGGACTGGTGGCTCCTTTCCAGCTTGGACTCCGGGCACCTTCACGAGCCGCAACTGGCCGGCGCCTTCTTGGCGACTTGGATTTCTGGTTTGGTGGCTTCCCAAATGGGCTCGCCTGTTGTTAGGGTTTGGCCCCCCAGCCAAAAGCAAAAAGTTACTCGGTCCCCCAGCTAGGTGCCCTTCTTATACCAACTTTCTTAATTTGGGGCGCTCGTCTTTTTTCATCTAGTTTCATGGGAAGTGTTTCAATTACTTGGGTGCTCAGGATGTCTTCACTGGACATTTGTTTTATGGCCAACCATATCTCTGATACCTCTGGAGATCTGTTCTCATGCTGTTTATTGGGCTAGGTCCCCCAGCTAGGTGCCCGTCTTAACCCCTTTTTCCCAAAAGCATCTCTGATGCTTGGGTTCTGCTTTAGGTTTTCTCTTAAGGTGCCTGGGAGCGATACAAGCTGTGACGACGGAGATAAGAAGGGATTTCCATTTCGTTGTGCTGCAGACCGGGCGTGCGATGCCGGCTGGGGGTGCAGACCGGGCGTACGAGGCTGGCTGGGGGGACGGCGGTGTGGGGCTGGCTGGGTGCGCGAGACTGGCGCGGTGGACGCTCGTGACAAGCGGAAACCGCCCCCGAGCGAGACGGGCGCGGGGCACGCTCGTGACAGGCGGAAGCCGCCCCCGAGCGAGACTGGCGCGGTGGACGCTCGGGGCATGCGGAAACCGCCCGCGAGCGAGACTGGCGCGGTGGACGCTCGTGACAAGCGGAAACCGCCCCCGAGCGAGACGGGCGCGGGGGACGCTCGTGACAGGCCGAAAGCGAGACGGGCGCGGGGGACGCTCGTGACAGGCCGAAACCGCCCCCGAGCGAGACGGGCGCGGGGGACGCTCGTGACAGGCCAAAACCGCCCCCGAGCGAGACGGGCGCGGGGACACTCGTGACAGGCCGAAACCGCCCCCGAGCGAGACGGGCGCGGGGGACGCTCGTGACAGGCCGAAACCGCCCCCCAGCGAGACTGGCGCGGGGGACGCTTGTGACATGCAGAAACGCTCGTGACAGGCCGAAACCGCCCCCAAGCGAGACGGGGCGCGGGGGACGCTCGTGAGAGGCCGAAACCGCCCCCGAGCGAGACGGGCGCGCTCGTGACAGGCCGAAACCGCCCCCGAGCGAGACGCTCGTGACAGGCCGAAACCGCCCCCGAGCGAGACGGGCGCGGGGGACGCTCGTGACAGGCCGAAACCGCCCCCGAGCGAGACGGGCGCGGGGGACACTCGTGAAAGGCCGAAACCGCCCCCGAGCGAGACGGGCGCGGGGGACGCTCGTGACAGGCTGACAGGCGGAAACCGCCCTCGAGCGAGACTGGCGCGGTGGACGCTTGTGACAGGCCGAAACCGCTCCGAGCGAGACGGGCGCGGGGGACGCTCGTGACAGGCCGACCGCCCCCGAGCGAGACTGGCGCGGTGGACGCTCGTGACAAGCGGAAACCGCCCCCGAGCGAGACGGGCGCGGGGGACGCTCGTGACAGGCCGAAACCGCCCCCGAGCGAGACGGGCGCGGGGGACGCTCGTGACAGGCCGAAACCGCCCCGAGCGAGACGGGCGCGGGCAGGCCGAAACCGCCCCCGAGCGAGACGGGCGCGGGGGACGCTCGTGACAGGCCGAAACCGCCCCCGAGCGAGACGGGCGCGGGGAACGCTCGTGACAGGCCAAAACGGCCCCCGAGCCAGACGGGCGCGGGGGACGCTCGTGTAAGGCCGAAACCGCCCCCGAGCGAGACGGGCGCGGGGGACGCTCGTGACAGGCCGAAACCGCCCCCGAGCGAGACTGGCGCTGTGGACGCTCGTGACAAGCGGAAACTGCCCGCGAGCGAGACTGGCGCGGGGGACGCTCGTGAGAGGCCGAAACCGCCCCCAAGCGAGACGGGCGCGGGGGACGCTCGTGACAGGCCGAAACCGCCCCCGAGCGAGACTGGCGCGGTGGCCGCTCGTGACATGCGGAAACCGCCCGCGAGCGAGACTGGCGCGGCGAACGCTCGTGACAAGCGGAAACCGCCCCCAAGCGAGACGGGCGCGGGGGACGCTCGTGACAGGCCGAAGCCGCCCCCGAGCGAGACTGGCGCGGTGGACGCTCGTGACAAGCGGAAACCGCCCGCGAGCGAGACTGGCGCGGGGGACGCTCGTGAGAGGCCGAAACCGCCGCCGAGCGCGGGGGACGCTCGTGACAGGCCGAAACCGCCCCCGAGCGAGACGGGGCGCGGGGGACGCTCGTGAGAGGCCGAAACCGCCCCCGAGCGAGACGGGCGCGGGGGACGCTCGTGACAGGCAGTGATTTGCCCAAAAATGAACCCATTCATGAATCAAGATTGACTCAATATTGCCGTGATTTTGAGCCCTGGAAGCCTCCAGAACCGTTCTCTGAGCGAAAAAGAACCAGGTCTTCAGGAGTTCAGGAAATCCCTTTTTCGGCTCTCGCTCGCGGGCGGTTTCCGCACGTCACGAGCGTCCACCGCGCCAGTCTCGCTCCAGTCTCGCTCAGGGGCAGTTTCCCGGGGGCGGTTTCGGCCTGTCACGAGCGTCCCCCGCGCCCGTGTCGCTCGGGGGCGGTTTCGGCCTCTCACGAGCGTCCCCCGCGCCAGTCTCGCTCGCGGGCGGTTTCCGCTTGTCACGAGCGTCCACCGCGCCAGTCTCGCTCGGGGGCAGTTTCGGCCTGAGACGGGTGCGGGGGACGCTCGTGACAGGCCGAAACCGCCCCCGAGCGAGACGGGCGCGGGGGACGCTACAGGCAGAAACCGCCCCCGAGCGAGACGGGCGCGGGGGACGCTCGTGACAGGCGGAAACCGCCCTCGAGCGAGACAAATGGCGCCGATGTGTTTCTAGGACGAACCCTCTCTTGAGAAGCTGTGGCCTCTTGGGGTTCGCCCTACTTATTTGGAAGCAGCCTGGAAGCACGTTGAAAATGTTTATGCTGAGCACACTCGGCCAAACAAAAGGGCGTACGAACATCCGAACGGCTGACCCCGGTCTACGCAGATTGTGTCTCAGACTTGTTTCAGACAGGCGTCAGACCCACCAAGTGACCGAGGCTTGTCCACACCGAGCCCCCGCACTTTTTGCCGCACACAGGACCCGAACAAACACCAATGTGTTTCTAGGACTCTCTTGAGAAGCTGTGGCCTCTTGGGGTTCGCCCTACTTATTTGGAAGCAGCCTGGACGTAGGTTGACATGAATATGCTGAGCACACGCGGCCCAGACAAAAGGGCGCACGAACATCCGAACAGCTAACCCCGGTCTACGCGGATCGTGGTAACACTGTGTCTCAGACTTGTTTCGGACAGGCGTCAGACCACCAAGTGACCGAGGCTTGTCTACGCCGAGCCCCCCGCAAAAGCACAGCGCCGGCCCCCTCCCACCCAACTTGCCATCTACACGCATCCAATTGACAACGTGCGCCGCTCTTTCCACAAAGTCACCAGTTGCAATTGGTTGCGAATGGGAAAATATAGGTGGAGCCACTAACGAATCCAAGCAAGCATACGAAGCAAGTTTGTGAAGGCCACGCGGCTCCATGTGAACAGCCCGGCGTTGCAGGTGCGCCAAAATTGTCCTTTTTGCCGCACACCTGACCCGAACAAAGGGTGCCGATGTGTTTCTAGGACGAACCCTGTCTTGAGAAGCTGTGGCCTCTTGGGGTTCGTCCTACTTATTTTGCCGCACACCTGACCCGAACAAATGGTGCAAATGTGTTTCTAGGACGAACCCTCTCTTCAGAAGGTGTAGCCTCTTGGGGTTCGCCCTACGTATTTGGAAGCAGCCTGGAAGCACGTTGACATGAATATGCTGAGCACGCTCGGCCCACACAAAAGGGCGCATGAACATCCGAACAGCTGACCCCGGTCTACGCAGATCGTGGCAACACTGTGTCTCAGACTTGTTTCGGACAGACGTCAGACCCACCAAATGACCGAGGATCGTCCACACCGAGCCTCCCCGCAAAAGCGCAGCGCCGGCCCCGTGTCCACACAACTTGCCATCCACACGCATCCAATTGACAGCGTGCGCGGCCCTTTCCACAAAGTCACCAGTTGCAATTGGTTGCGAATGGGAAAATCGGTGGAGAAACTAGCGAATCCAAGCAAGCTTACGAAGCAAGTTTGTGAAGGCCACGTGCACGGCTCCATGTGAACAGCCCGGCGTTCACCGCGCGCCAAGATTGTCCTTTTTGCCGCACACCTGACCCGAGCAAATGGCGCCAATGTGTTTCTAGGACGAACCCTCTCTTCAGAGTCTGTGGCCTCTTGGGGTTCGCCCTACTTATTTGGAAGCAGCCTGGAAGCACGTTGACATGAATATGCTGAGCACACTCGACCAAACAAAAGGGCGCACGAACATCCGAACAGAGTCCTAATTTTTTCCCAAAAGCATCTCTGATGCTTGGGTTCTGCTTTAGGTTTTCTCTTAAGGTTCCTGGGAGCGATACAAGCTGTGACGACGGAGATAAGAAGGGATTTCCATTTCGTTGTGCTGCAGACCGGGCGTGCGATGCCGGCTGGGGGTGCAGACCGGGCGTACGAGGCTGGCTGGGGGGACGGCGGTGTGGGGCTGGCTGGTGGGACGGCGGTGTGGTGCAGACTGGGTGCGCGAGGCTGGCCCGCGAGCGAGAGAGACTGGCGCGCTCGTGACATGCGGAAACCGCCCGCGAGCGAAAAATGGTGACATGCGGAAACCGCCCGCGAGCGAGACTGGCGCGGTGGACGCTCGTGACATGCGGAAACCGCCCGCGAGCGAGACTGGCGCGGTGGAACATGCGGAAACCGCCCGCGATAGAGACTGGCGCGGTGGACGCTCGTGACCTGCGGAAACCGCCCGCGAGCGAGACTGGCGTGGTGGACGCTCGTGACATGGAGAAACCGCCCGCGAGCGAGACTGGCGCGGTGGACCCTCGTGACATGCGGACGGTGGAACATGCGGAAACCGCCCGCGAGCCTGGCGTGGTGGACGCTCGTGACATGGAGAAACCGCCCGCGAGCGAGACTGGCGCGGTGGACTGACATGCGGACACCGCCCGCGAGCGAGACTGGACTGGCGCGGTGGACGCTCGTGACATGCGATACTGGCGCGGTGGACGCTCGTGACATGCGGAAACCGCCCGCGAGCGAGACTGGCGCGGTGGACGCTCGTGACAGGCGGAAACCGCCCGCGAGCGAGACTGGCGCGGTGGACGCTCGTGACATGCGGAAACCGCCCGCGAGCGAGACTGGCGCGGTGGACGCTCGTGACATGCGGAAACCGCCAGCGAGCGAGACTGGCGCGGTGGACGCTCGTGACATGCGGAAACCGCCCGCGAGCAAGACTGGCGCGGTGGCCGCTCGTGACAGGCGGAAACCGCCCGCGAGCGAGACTGGCGCGGTGGACGCTCGTGACATGGGGAAACCGCCCGCGAGCGAGACTGGCGCAGTGGATGCTCGTGACACGCGGAAACCGCCCGCGAGCGAGACCGGCGCGGTGGACGCTCGTGACATGCGGAAAACGCCCGCGCTCGTGACATGCGGAAACCGCCCGCAAGCGAGACTGGCGCGGTGGACGCTCGTGACATTCGGAAACCGCCCGCGAGCGAGACTGGCGCGGTGGAACGCTCGTGACATGCGAAAGCCGCCCGCGAGCGAGACTGGCGTGGTGGACGCTCGTGACATGCGGAAACCGCCCGCGAGCGAGACTGGCGCGGTGGACGCTCGTGACATGCGGAAACTGCCCGTGAGCGAAACTGGCGCGGTGGACGCTCGTGACATGCGGAAACCGCCCGCGAGCGAGACTGGCGCGGTGGGCGCTCGTGACATGCGGAAACCGCCCGCATGCGGAAACCGCCCGCGAGCGAGACTGGCGCGGTGGACGCTCGTGACATGCGGAAACCGCCCGCGAGCGAGACTGGCGCAGTGGCCGCTCGTGACATGCGGAAACCGCCCCTGAGCGAGACAGCGAGACTGGTGCGGTGGACGCTCGTGACATGCGGAAACCGCCCGCGAGCGAGACTGCCGCGGTGGCTTGTGACAGGCGGAAACCGCCCGCGAGCGAGACTGGCGCGGTGGACGCTCGTGACAGGCGGAAACCGCCCGCGAGCGAGACTGGCGCGGTGGCTCGTGACAGGCGGAAACCGCCCGCGAGCGAGACACTGCCGCGGTGGACGCTCGTGACATGCGGAAACCGCCCGCGAGCGAGACTGGCGCGGTGGACGCTCGTGACATGCGGAAACCGCCCGCGAGCGAGACTGGCGCGGCGGACGCTCGTGACATGCGGAAACCGTTTGCGAGCGAGACTGGCGCGGTGGACGCTCGTGACATGCGGAAACCGCCCGCGAGCGAGACTGGGTGGAGGCTCGTGACATGCGGAAACCGCACGCGAGCGAGACTGGCGCGGTGGACGCTCGTGACATGCGGAAACCGCCCGCGAGCGAGACTGGCGCGGTGGACGCTCGTGACAGGCGGAAACCGCCCGCGAGCGAGACTGGCGCGGTGGACGCTTGTGACACGCGGAAACTGCCCGCGAGCGAGACTGGCGGGTGGACGCTCGTGACATGCGGAAACCGCCCGCGAGCGAGACTGGCGCGGTGGACGCTCGTGACATGCGGAAACCGCTCGCGAGCGAGACTGGCGTGGTGGACGCTCGTGACATGCCGGCGAGCGAGACTGGCGCGGTGGAGGTGGACGCTCATGACATGCGGCAACCGCCACGTGCGCGGCTCCATGTGAACAGCCCGGCGCTCCAGGTACGCCATAATTGTCCTTTTTGCCGCAGAACAAACGGTGCCAATGTGTTTCTAGGACGGACCCTCTCTTCAGAAGCTGTAGCCTCTTGGGGTTCGCCCTACTTATTTGGAAGCAGCCTGGAAGCACGTTGGCATGAATATGCTGAGCACACTCGGCCCAAACAAAAGGGCGCATGAACATCCGAACAGCTGACCCCGGTCTACGCAGATCGTGGTAACACTGTGTCTCAGACTTGTTTCGCCCACCAAGTGACCGAGGCTTGTCCACACCGAGCCCCCCGCAAAAGCGCAGCGCCGGCCCCGTCTCCACACACTTGCGGCGAATCCACCCAACTTGCCATCCACACGCATCCAATTGACAACGTGTGCGGCCCATTCCACAAAGTCACCAGTTGCAATTGGTTGCGAATGGGAAAATAGGTGGAGAAACTAACGAATCCAAGCAAGCATACGAAGCAAGTTTGTGAAGGCCACGTGCACGGCTGCATGTGAACAGCCCGGCGTTCCTGGTGCGCCAAAATTGTCCTTTTTGCCGCACACCTGACCCGAACAAATGGTGCCAATGTGTTTCTAGGACGAACCCTCTCTTCAGAAGCTGTGGCCTCGGGGTTCGCCCTACTTGTTTGGAAGCAGCCTGGAAGCACGTTGACATGAATATGCTGAGCACACTCGGCCCAAACAAAAGGGCGCATGAACATCCGAACAGCTGACCCCGGTCTACGCAGATCGTGGTAACACTGTGTCCACCAAGTGACCGAGGCTTGTCCACACCGAGCCCCCCGCAAAAGCGCAGCGCCGGCCCCGTCTCCACACACCTGCGGCGAATCCACCCAACTTGCCATCCACACGCATCCAATTGGCAACGTGCGCGGCCCTTTCCACAAAGTCACCAGTTGCCATTGGTTGCGAATGGGAAAATAGGTGGAGAAACTAACGAATCCAAGCAAGCTTACAAAGCAAGTTTGTGAAGGCCACGTGCGCGGCTCCATGTGAACAGCCCGGCGTTCCAGGCACGCCAAAATTGTCCTTTTTGCCGCACACCTGACCCGAACAAATGGCGCCAATGTGTTTCTAGGACGAACCCTCTCTTCAGAGTCTGTGGCCTCTTGGGACTCGCCCTACTTATTTGGAAGCAGCCTGGAAGCACGTTGACATGAATATGCTGAGCACACTCGGCCCCAACATAAGGGCGCATGAACATCCGAACAGCTGACCCCGGTCTACTCAGATCGTGTTGTAACACTGTGTCTCAGACTTGTTTCAGATGGGTGTAGAGCGAGCTTATGCCTTGCTTCCAATTTGGGAGTGGTAGTTTGTGCGGATCCATTTTCGGATTTCTGCGATTGGTTCTTCATGATGAATCGGATGACTTCGTGCCTTCCATGTAGTGCGGGGCCTGTCATGTTTCACCCGTGCCTTTGCCTTTTTCTCTGTGCTTGGTCAGAGCACAGGCTGCTGGCTGCCAATCCGGCTTGAGTCGCGGTTGCTCCCTGTTTTGGGGTTGATTTCCCAACTGTGAACAACTTAAATCTTGGTTTGCCTTCGGACCCTTGAGCCGGAAAACAACGGAATCCACATGCCGTGGGGAGTTAGGCTGGTTTGCTTTTGGGTTCCCGGGCTCCTCTTGTTTTGTTGGGAGGGTTCCCGTACTAAAAATGGACTGCAGGAAAAAAGGGTACCAAATTATTCTAAGCTCTCTACTGGAGGACCTAGTTGGGGTATGGCCCCCCAAGATGGAATTCGGTTTTCCTGTTTTCCTAGTGGGTTCCCTTTGAAACCAACCAAAAAGGGGGGGGAGCTCAAAAGAAGATACACCCAAATACCGACCGCATGAGGCTCAGAACCCTTTCTAGGGTTGAAAAGTGAAGCCATGAGCAAAACCACCATCTTGGGGGTCGCCCCAGTGAACACATACCCAGATTTGTCTCTTCAGCCGGATTGAACTTGACCACTTTTAGATGAGTTTCCTGTGTTGAAGTTGGACATATAGGGAGCAATGATGTCCAGAGAGGAATGCATATCAAGAGTTGGATCCACCTAAGTGGTTGATCCCCACCAAAATGGTGTCCAGCCCCTTTAAAAAAAGGAAAAAAAGAAGAGAAACCACTTAACGTTGCTTGCAAGAGTGACATGTGAGCTGTGTTTTCGTTTGCCTCCGGTATTAATTCATACATGCCTTTTGGTTGCCCTTAAAGGCTGGCCCTCATGGGTGTCCTTCACCCTTTACTTCTTTTCACCAGCCAAGGGCAAAAGGTTAACATTGGCTTGGCCACGTTTTCCGCGAAATTCGCCAGCTGAATCTTGTCCACCCCCGAAAGACCACCAAACTTCCAAACCCCCAATTCAGCTCCAACCCATTGGAAGGAAGCTGAGTGCAACCTACTCAAAGGGGCAGGGTACGTAGGAAGTGGTTAGTAAGCCCTCGTTATAACGCACTTAGACTTATAACCATGGGCTTTGGCTTATCTCACCATGGCTCCCCACGCAGCCTGCATAGATCGCAAGGCGGGCTTAGCGCTGAAGCCGCTCTGCGCCTGCTGCGGCGCCTTTTACCTCACCGCCCAAAACGCGCCGCCGGCCGACGGAGGGCGCCGGCAGGGGCTGCTGGCGGGCCTTGGTGCCCCAGCTCACATGGGAGCTGGGTGCCCGAAAGTGCCGAAGTGGGATTTACATAACTTGGTGGCTCCCAGCCATCCCCTTATATAGCCTTTTAGCTTTTGAGTGTTTTGTGGCAGTCTCCATTCAACCTACTAAAAGTTAAACTTTTAGTGGGGGACTGAGGGCAGCCCACGTTGGTACCCTTTTTGGGTTGACTTTAAGTTTAAAGGGAAACCAAAGGCAACACATTTGCTTGGAGGGAGATGGCGGACGAGCTCTCTAGATTTCCCCACGTAAACCAGGGCACGACGTTAAATTGCCTATGTCCTTCAGGACTTCAATTTGAGGAAACGACTATTTGTCTATGTTATTGGCCGGTATTTGGGTGCATCTTGTTTGGAGTTGATTCCCTTTTGGGGCTCGTTTTAAAGGGGAACCAAAGGGAACTACCATCATTTTGAGGGTCTCCAAAAAGAAGACACACCCAGACGGGGGGATTTTCCCTTGTTGGTTTGAAGGGAATCAATTCACTACTGGAAATATGTGTTCGTTTGTTTGTTTTTGTTTGTTTTTTCCCCAGGGGGCTTAAGCAAATGGTAGCTACCCTTGAAAATGGGATTGACTACTAAAATTGCAGGGCGGGCTCCATCAAAAAATCGAGCGTGTCCCCTGAAAAGACTAAAATTAGAGGGCGACCCAAACTTGCAGGGTGGTTAACCCCGTTCTAGGGGTTGTTTGAGGGTCCAGGTTGCCGTTTCCTACCGTGCCAACACCTTGAGCTGGTTCTAGAAAACTCGTTTGTTGGGGGTCACTTGAAGCACGCATTTAGCAGGTATCCAGCCAAGTCTACTCAGCAAAAATTAATGGAAGGAACCCAAACGAGACTTCACCCAACAGGGGATTCCGCTACAAATGGGTCGGCTTGGTGGGGTTTCTGTTCACCTGCAGAGGAGTACGGCAATTTATGGGACGCAAAAATCTCATGAGAAGCTGCCTTCTGAGTCTTGCGCCCCCAATTTCAACGGGACGGACCTCGTGATTTTTCAACCGCGGTCCATATGTCACGCTGAAATGATTCGATCGCCTTTGATTGCCAGGTTCTTTGTTCAAGTGAGTCTTGCGCCTCCAACAAGCCTCGCAGGAACGGTCAATCTCTCTTCATCACCCCCTTTCCCTGCCTTCGCTCGCGGATTGGACATGAGAGCGATAAAGGAAGGTGAGTCAATGCTGTTCCGCTCTTGGCTCGTCCGTCATTATCTTTACACAGCTATCTCATGGACTTTCCTATGAACGATAACTGCTATTCATAAAATGCTTGACATCATATCCACTCCTCCATTCTCGCTTCTTTGTTAGGCGAGAGATGGGGAATCAAGGATATGAATGGAGAGTGAAGGAGAGAGAGAGAGGGAGGGGGAGGGAGGGAGGGAGGGAGGGAGGGAGGGAGGGAGGGAGGGAGGAAAGGAGGAAGGGAGGAGGGAGGGAGAGGGAGAGAGAGAATGGATGGGGAAGGGAACCCATCTCTTCTCTCACCATCTCTTGTCTCCTTTTGTTTTACATCTCTTTCATCTTCTTTATCTCCCCTTCATTCACGTTTCCTTGAGGTAACGTTTGATGGAAAGACAAACATATTAAAAGAGAATGAGAATGGGATGGGAGCATTGGGAATCATCTCCTGTTCCCTTTCCTCGCATCCAAGAATAAAAGATCAAGAATTGTAGAAGCATGTTCTTGTTGCAAAGGGAAGGACAAGGAAAGCATCACCTATTTCCCGTGTCTCAAGCTTCCTACAGGTTCTCCAACCGTGTCACACAAATTGAAACCGTTGGAAGCGTTAGCTTGGGAGAAGACCCTCAGAACTTGGAAGTCAAGCCTTTGGTAGCAGCCTGGCGATACTTGACTTCTCTTTTATTCAGAATTATAGACTCAGGAAGTCTTAACAGCGAGGACAAGGGACGAGGAAAGACAGCGGGGGTTACTAACTCATGTTCATTGACTTTCTGGGCATTGATATAAAAAGATGAATGAAGATGACGTCTTTCCTATCCTTTATTTGCCGATGTGTTTTTGATATATTGTCCTAGGATCAGATTTTGACGGCAATAATCATATGACGGATGGTGAAAGCTTGATCCCATATCTATATCTCTTTCACCTACATGTTTACTATTCTTCTTCTGGGGTCTCCAAAACCCTTATAGGGCTGCCCAAGAAAAAGGGTGTGTCGGTTTCCCTTCCCCACCAAACATATAAACAGCCTCCCTCCAAAAGCCCGAGCATTTTTCACCTATGTCTCGCATGGGTCCCATGGTACTTGGCTCGAGGCAGTTTCAGCGGGCTCTTGTTCCTCTCGCACCTCCGCCTGGGCCTCGTCTTGGCCCCGCTGCACGTCGCGCTCCTCGCGCTCCTCGGCCTCGGCCTCGGCGGCGGAAGCCGCCGGCCGCTTCGGCCGAAGCCGGCAGCGGCGGACGCGGCGGCGCCGAGCTTCGGGCTGGCGGCGGGCGCCAAAGTGATGGAGGCGGGGAGGGTTCAACCCGGAAAATGGGATACAATGGGATACATTACTCCCGAGATCACCGGAAAATTCCCGGATGACGCTGGCCTCCACGCGGCCGAGCAGCGGAAAACCAGCCACCGTGGATTTTTTTTTTTTTTTTTTTTGGGGGGGGGGTTTGTCGGTGTCGTTTTGTTTGGTTTGGGCGGTTTTGGGGGGGTTGTCGGTGTCCTTTTTTTTTTTTTTTTTTTCTTGGGCTGTCGGATGCACGTGTCGACACCGTTTCCTTGAGAACATGCGCATCAGAGGAGGGCCTCTTCTCTCAGGTCACCGGCCATCTCAGACACGCATGCCACGACACTCCGGCTCGCATGAAGTTGAGACGACACGCGGAGTATCATGACCACGCTACCGGGCATTGAATGCTACCACAGCCTTCGTACGATACGATTAAAGGACCACGCTGGGCTAATCCACCCCAGCTCTCGAGCTGGAGCTCTTCCGATGAAAAAGTAGGCGGTCGCTACGACGGCCAACGCATAACCACACACCTCATCACACGGAAGGGCGGAATAGTCATCCACTGACCAATGCCCTTTCGGCTCAAACCATCGGGGCCGTTGACTCCCGACACTTAGGTGGAAGGAGTCTCCCTGATTGGTACTGAGTCGGCAAGGGAACACGGGTAACCGTCTGGTCGTCGGTTACTCGTCACTGAAGCCACAACACGAGGTTCTCCTATAGGTTGACCCTACGGTGATCATCCCGGTCTTTGTAGGAGGAACCCAAATTCGCGTACCCCCAGAACTGGGGAAGCGAGGAAAGGGCAAAGGGACAATGCCCCAACACCTAAAATACCTGAGGGGGCGGGTCACCGCCCGGGTACGACAGCTACAGGCTGCTCAAAGCGCGGGAGCCAATACGCAAGAGCTGCGACATATCCGGCGAGCATTAGCGCGGAACCGGAAGACTTGGAAGAGAGCTAAGCGGCTTCGAACGGCTCGGGTACAACAAGCCCAAAGGAGGACACAAGCTACACGAACAGAAAGGGAAAAAGACCACAAGCGCAATATCCGATTGGCCACCTGGAATACGCGAGGACTGGGTTCGCGACACAGCGAACACAACCAGGAGATGAAGCTGAAATGTTTCATACATCGCATGGTCCAGCAAAGATGGGGATGCGTAGTGCTGACTGATCTCAAGTACGCTGGCGACCAGGTTCGCAGTTGCGCAGTCCAGGGAGGCACATGGACGCTTGTGGTTCGACAACAAGTTGGGTTTCTGCTCAGCGATACGTGGAGGGGATGGTGGGAAGAGGGAGGAAGTAGAACCTACTCAGGAGGTTCCAGGGTGGCAGGAATACAGTTCCCAAGACGCGGTTGGCGCCGAGGAATCTTCGTGATCGGGGTGTACGCTCCGACGTCTAGCAGCACGGTACAGGAGCGGCACCAGCTTCGGGACCAGGTATCCAACGTGATCAACATGGCGCAGGCCACCAGTATATCCCTCTTGCTGGGAGATATCAACGCAGAGTTGGGTAACAACCAGAACGCAAACACTCTGGGACACACGGTGGTCGGTCGTTTCGCACGTCCCAAGATCACCACGGCCGGACAGGAGTGGCGGCAATGGGCCGAGGCGGAGGGCTTCCGCGACTGTGCCAGCAGATATCAGCTGCGACACCGGACCACCTGGCAACACCCGAGATACCGGTCAGAACACGAATTGGACCACATCTTCATCCGGGAAGAATGCTTGTGGCACCTACAGCACTGCCGAGTGCTACAGGAAGGACCCAACGTAGCGTGGCCCTGGGGAGACTACACGGATCACAACCCAGTAGAGGTCCGACTCCGACACGGGCGCAAGTGGGCCAAGCAACCTGCTAGAGCGACAGGTCCCCCCTGCCCAGATGTGGGTAAACTCCGTGGGGTCTCAGAAGAAAGTGTAGAGCAGCGCAAGCAATGGGTACAGCTAGTCGAAGAACGATTGGCGCAACTACAGGCCAGGGAGGACGCAGACCTCACATCCCGATGGGAAGCAATCTGTGCGGCTTGCCGAGACGCGGCAGTCCAGGTATGCGGGGTCCTTCAGCGCCACAAGGGACAACCGTGGCTCCGCGGGCGAGATGGGGAGGTGCAACAGTTAGATCAGCGCATCCAGCAGGCCAGAGCAGCGGATCGACGGATACAAGGAAACCCAGACGCCCTGCCGGTGGCAGAATTCCACCGCGCCCGGCGCGCAGCGCGACAAGGCCTACGAGCCACAAGACGGACCAAAAAGGTGACACTGGGAGAGTGGGAAACCGCTTGGCTGGATCGCAAAGCGGCGGAAGCAGATGAGGCGGCTGACCAGGGGCGGACAGGAATCGTGTTCCGGGTGATCAAAGAGCTTGTTCAGGACCATCGGACCAGCGGCTTCGGAAATCGACGAGCTGCAGACCCACAGGGGGAGGCTGAGGAATGGAAACAGCATTTCGCGCGTATCCAAGCGGGACGAGGCGAGGTGGCTGACTCCGTATGGATCGATGTGGAGTCCCGGGAAGGAATCGACACGTGGTTGGATGGAGTACCCACTCTAGAGGAAATCCGACGGTCCATTGGAGACATGCAGTGTGGTAAAGCGCCGGGCACGGATTCGTTCATGGCAGAGTACCTGAAGTATGGCGGACCCGCGTTGGAAGCGGAAATAGTGGTTTTGGTCCGCACGGCGTGGCGACGGGCCGCGGAGGCGCCAGCGGGCCGGGAAGCCGAGCCATGGCCAAAAAGATGGCGGGAAGGAGTAATCTGCCCCCTATGGAAACGCAAAGGAGATCGACAGGACAAAAACACGTGGCGCGGTATCACGCTGTTGTCGGTGGGATCGAAGTTGATAGCACGGATCTGCTCTGCACGATTGCAACGATGGGCGCAGCCATGGTTGAATGCTCTACAGTTCGGCTTCAGACCAGGGACCGGCGTGGATGATGTGCAGCAGATTACTCGGGCGGTCTTGGAGGAAGCGGCGGGGGCGGTGCATGATCGCACCATCCTGCTACGATTCTTCGATCTGGAGAAGGCGTATCCTAAGGTGGCTAGGCATGCGCTCTGGAAACTGTTGGAAATGAAAGGATGCCCGCCGGGATTTCTTGGAGTGCTGAAAGCTCTACATGACCATACGGCTAGCCATGTGCGCTTCGATGGAGGGACCTCCGCGGAGTTTGTCCCGGACAGAGGGCTCCGAGAAGGTTGCCCCAGTTCCCCGGTCCTATTCAATCTGTACCACCACGGTATTATGGAGGTATTCCGAGCACGACGGGCGCGGGCGGCGCAGGCGCGGCAAATGACGCCAGGCGTCACTTGGAACTACAAGGTCGATGGGAAGATCGGAAAGAGACGCATGGACCGCCTAGAGGAGGGCCGCAACACTCGCCAAATGCTGATCGGGGATTTTGCATACGCAGATGATACGGGAATCCTTGGTGACGCCGATGAGGTGGTAACGGCGGAAGAGCTGTTCGCGTCCACACTGGCTGACTTCGCCGGGAAGGTCAATGCAGGGAAAACTGAGGGACTAAGGGTGACATCGGAAGCACCGGCCGAATATGACATCCCACACTGCGGAGAAGCGACGGCGGTCAGACATGTCGGAGCGATGTTGGGACATAGAGGTAATCACGTGGATGAGACGGCAGCTCGAGTGATGAAAAGCATGCAGCAAGTGGGGCGCATTTCCAAGGCGTGGACTCACGGTAAGGGAGCGCACCGCAACAGATATAGGGTGAAGTTCTCGGTTCGAATCAAGGTCATGAAGGCGGTGCTGAAAGGGATGCTGGGTAGTTTCGCGCGGACAAGGGCGTGGCAGGTGAGCCAAATTACCAGGGTGCAGAAGATTGTGAATCTCGCCATTCGACGGTGTCTAGGGATCCGGCTGGGCATGCTACGGGGATACGGTCTGAGCAACGACATCCTGTCGAACATGGCGCAGTGGGAACAGTTTGAAAGTCTGGTTCGCAGGTCCACCCTCATGTGGATTGGACATGTGGCGCGCATGGAGCACATGCAGCCACAAAAGGCTATCATGTTCGGGTGGCTCGACGGAGCCAGCGCCAAACAACATGCGCCGCCGCGTCAGGCGCAATGGGTGAACTCGTGCTTGAAAGCAGCCAAGATATCCGAGATGGATTGGTTCAGGTTAGCGCAGGACCGATCGACATGGCGCAAGATTGTGACGACAGCCTTCCCCGTGGAAAAGGTCAATCCCGAGCGGGAAGGACAATTGGATAGCTGGCGCCCGGGAAGGCCTGTGCCACCGTTCGCGCTCCCCCAAGGGCGCCCAGAACGGCCCGACAACGAGGATGAAGGCAGCGAGGCAGATGTTGCAGAAAGAGTGCGGGGCAGGGCGCGCGGACAGGGACAGGTGATGTACGGAGTAGGGGGAAGACGGGCAGCAGCGCGCGCCACGAGACAACAAAGAGCGCACAGAGATGAACAGGGGAATTGGGCGTGCCCGGTCTGCGCGGAGACCTTCAACAAGGCGAACCAGGTGGAATTTCATTACCAGGAACACCACGCAGTAACGGATCCCCGACTGGTCACCACTGAAGTGTTCACGTGTCAACACTGTCAGACCACCTACCGAAGGAGAAAGCAGCTGACGGATCACTTGTGCCCAGCCAGGCAGAAATTGGAACGTTTGGACCGAATCGATCCAATGATACACGTGGGAGGGCCGAGCCGGGAAGAGGCCGTGCCGGACGACAGTCCATGGGCCCTGTTTACGGACGGATCGGGCGGAACCAGAGGTGTGGCAGGCTGGGGAGTTGGGATTTACACTTGCAGAGCCCCAACCACACAGGAGGATTGGGTGGCGGCCTTGTATGGCCCGGTCATCACATTGCCCTGCGACCCGCAGTGGATGGGAGCGGAGGCACACACGAACAATACGGGAGAGCTATCGGCCATCGGGGAAGCATGCAAGTGGTTGCTGCAATGGAAAGCACGAAAGCCGGAAGCTCCGCGTCCTTCCGCAGTCATCCTCTACGACAGCCAATACGCCTACGGAGTGGCTACACGCCTGTTCCGCGCCAAGGAAAACCAACTGTTGGCGACGTCTGTGGCCAGCCTTGTGGACGCGGTACGTGCCTCCATGTCCCTCGAATTCGAGCATGTCAAGGGCCACAGTGGCGCGCACGGCAATGAGGTTGCAGATAGGCTAGCGGATCGAGGATCGCAGGGCCGCGTATCCCCCCACTGTATGCATCTGGTTGTATCACCAGCGGGACCGATGGGAGGGGCCGAGGGGGCTGCGCGCAGAGCGCCTCAAGACCGTCCGGCGCCCAAGCGCAGGGCCTTGGTCCGGCCCCCGCCAGACGCCCCAGCGGTTCGTAACGCGGACGGCACATACCAGTGTGAAAAATGTCAGCAGAATTTCAGGGCCACGGACATCAATCAACATAGGCCCGTTTGTCGAGGACCTGGAGATGCAAATAAGACATGCATGTTTTGCCAAAAAGTGCTAGGCTCAGTGACAGCCAGAAAGAACCATGAGAGAAACACGCATGCGGAAGCGGCTTTGCGGGAAGGTCTCATTAGCAAACTACCGAAACGGCGGACGCAGGGAGGTTGAACGTGTTTTTGTTGCTTGTTGACTATACTGCAGCTATGACAGCTCACGTGGTCCTCGCACTCGCCCTCCTGTTGCAATGGCTCAACCAGGGGAACGCCGCGGAGTACTCCGCGGGCAGCTCAAGAAAGTGGAGGAACGCTTGGACAACGTGGAGTGGCGACTGGGACGCGTGGAGCTTGCCCAGGAGCAGACGGACCAGTACAGACGCTTGCGGGTGGAACACTCACCGCGCCTGCAAGAGGTGTGGAGGGCCTTCGAGGCCAAAGAGTTTGAGCCGCATGAGCTGCGTGCAAAGGTTGCAGTGGCAGTGGGCGCAGATGTCCGCGAGTGCATGGGTCGTGAAGTGGACGAGGAAGCCTTGCAAGCCAAGAGCCGTGAGCTCAGCCATGGGAGACAGGCGGTGCCAGTTCGGGACGTTCGGGTGGCCACGAGCGTGGCCTTCGATTTGGCTCCCCTGCTCGAGTGGGTGTATAAGGACCGGACAGGCGCCTTCGGCCTCATCCTCGCACGCGGTGAGCCCAGCAGAGTGTTCACGACGCAGGTCAAAGATACCTTTAACTGGGCGCTCTTTGTTTTGGCAAAGCTCGAGGGGCAGGGTATACAAGTATACGGAGACCGTGGACCCCAAACACGGGCAAAAGGGCGCGGCAAGGGGAAGGAAGCAGGAAAGGGCAAAGAAGCAGGAAAAGGCAAAGGAAAAGGTAAGAAGGGAAAGAAAGGAAAAGGACGCGGCCAAAGACGTGATGCGGAGGAGTGAGGCGGGCTTTTTCCGAGCCGATTTTTCGGGGGGCCCAGGGATCAAGGTTGCCCCAGGTAAGACCCATTTCAGAGGTACGTCCTCGGGTCTAGGTCGGAGCCCACTTTGGGGTACGTCCCCGGGCTCCTAGGTCGGGCAACCTAAATCCGTTGGGCCTCGCCGGTTCCCCTGTAAGGCGCAAGGGCTACTAATTACCCCGGTTCCTTTGGGGTGGCTCCCCCCCTAATCAGAATGGATATTAAATTCGGGGTATTTCCTCTAATACCACATGAACACTATTGGGATCTGCCATATTTTTTTTGGATAGGGTGTCCCCTCCCCACCTAGGAAACCCAGTTCATGTCCGGGTAACTTTCCGGGATCGATCCGACGCGCCGTGCTCATGCGGTCTACTTGCAACTCGGATAGGAACCATGCGAGCCACCTTCGTCGCGCTACATCATCATCATCATCAAATTCCCGGGCTATTTGAGCCCTTCCGCTGGTCTGAAGTTCGCCGACGTGCCCAATCCCACTGCCAGAGTTCGAGCTCTTCGGTCCAGTCCCCTTGCAGTCATGGGAGCCTCGTTGGATGGGAGCAGACATTGCGTCCAACAACGTTGGGGAACTCACCGCCATGCTTGAGGCTCTGCTCTGGCTGGAACAGGAGGCGCCAGGCGATGCTGGCTTGCCTGCCCGCATTCGCTTTGACTCCACTTATGCACACAGTATCATCACTGGTGCTTATCGCCCCCATGTCAATCTCAAGTTGGCTTCTGAAGCCAAAAAGGTCTTTGAGCGTGTGTCCCAACTACGACCACTTGCTTTCGAAAAAGTCAAGGGCCACTCTGGCGATCCTGGAAACGATCATGCAGACTACCTCGCTGGCTTGGGGTCGAAAGGGCAACAGAGACGTCAATCGTCGAGATGGCTTATTCCGGTAGGAAGCCCGGCGCCGGTGCAGCCTTGGCAAGTCGACTGGTGTTGGAGGTGCGGCAAAGTCTTCAGCGGGCCCAGCCACGCCAGACAGCTCGCCGGACACGAAGGTCAATGCCACGTTCCTAGCGTACCGCCACCGCACATTCCATGCCGGAAGGGATGCGGGCGCCAGTTCGAGTGGCGATTCCCCAGCGGGAGACGAAAGCAGGCTCATCACGCCCGAGAATACCGACACATGCATGAGAAACTCTGTTCCGGTGACGAACGAGGGTCACGCACATGCCCCTTCTGCAACAAGGTGTACCCGGAGGGGACTTCGGATGAAACCATATTGCGACATCGTGACTCCTGTTCCAGCAGGCCACGCGAGGCCGCGTCCTCGCACTCGACTTGGAAGTGCCCTAAGTGTTCTTGCCGGTTCTCTCCGACGCAACAGGTACATCACGAGGCTACCTGTCGAGGATCCGCCCGGGAGAACAAATCTTGCCTGTCATGTAGTGCCTCTTTTCAAATTGGCGGAGTCAGGGAAAAACATGCACCATTGGCGCCCGCGTTACGCACGAGAACCGTTGCGCGAGGTAATTTCGTTCCTCGTTCCCCTTTGCCGTGTTCGGAGCCGGTCCTGCTTGCAGGAGACCGCTTCGGGCACGGTGCTCCTCCTTGCTTGGGTGAAGGCTCCCCTTTGGGCAGTGGTCCTGCTTGCAGGAGACCGTTGGGTGCTTGCACCAGCCTCCCCCCTTGCTGGCCGTTGCTTCGTTTGCCCCTCCGCCTTCTTTGCTCTCCCAGTCTTCGCCCGCCCCTTCCGTCGGCCTTGGCGCGTGCCTGCTTCTCCTCTCGTGGGTCTGTCCGTGTAGGTGGTCTTCCTTCGTTTGTCCCGTCGTGGCTGGTCCTGCTTGCAGGAGACCGCCCGGCTTCGTGCCCCCGCCGGGGCGCTGGCTCCCTTCGGGGCTGTGGTCCTGCTCGCAGGAGACCACTGGGTGCTTGCACCAGCCCGCCCTGGCCCACGGTCACTTGCTGTTCTGTCGGCCTTTGGGCCCCTCTGTTTCCCTTTTTTTGATGCTCGTCCGTTTCTTTACCGTCCGTGCGCTCCGCTGGCTTGCCCGTGCCTGCTGGGTTTTCGTGTCTCCGCTTGCTCTGTTGTTTTCGTTTTCTCTTTCTTTCTCCCCCCGTTTTTTATTTCTTGTGGGAAATGCCTGCTCGCAGTTTCATGTTCCCGCCCGGTTCTCGCTGCTAGATTTCTGGCTCTCCGCCCGGCCTACTTTGACTCTCCTCGCTCTGTCTTGCCCCTATGCCGGCCCCTCCTCCGATGTCCATGGAGGAGCGCGTCTCCAAATTGGAGGAAAAGGTGTCGGACCTCGAGAGTACTTCCAGGATCCGGGGCACAGGTTTGGTGGCGCTGGCCGCAGCTGCCGAGGACATCGCGAAGTCCGAGGCGAAGGAATTCTGGAAGCTCAAATCCGCCTTGCCCGACCTCCTGTGGAGGGACCTCGAGGAACCGTTGCGACGCGGGATCTCCGACAGCAGTAAGGTGACCGCCATCTTCGCTGAGCTGGTCCAGTGCTTGCGTGCCCACGACGCCCTGGTGGGAGTCTTTCCTGCCGGAGGTGCGTGGGGACGAGAGAGGTCGATTGATATCCGCTTTCGTCCTGGCATGCCGGGGCTGCGGATTCATCATTTGATCAAGTCCGAGATTGCTCCGGTGCTGAAGGCGCTTGACCCCCCGGCAGCGGTTGCCATTTGGGTGCCGCTGTCGGGGGGGGAGATGAAGCGGAGGGAGCGGAAACGCGCCCGCGCCGACTCCACGGCCCCGGCGGCGACGGCTAAGAGCCGCGCCGGGAACCCAGGCAAAGGCCAGGGCAAGAAGAGCCGGCGCTGAGGCGCCACGGTGCGGATCCGTTTTCCCGGCCCGTTTTTACAGACCTTCTGGCCGCCCTTTTTCCTTCTTTGCCTTTTAAGTGATACCAAGTACTATCTCGAGCAAACTAAGGTGCGGCCCGTCTTGCCAGGCAGATGAACTTGATGGGCGGCTCATTGAGTCTCATTCCCGGTGATCCGACGGTAGGTTGTCTCTTCTTTGCCTCCTTGGCGCTGTTCCTCTTCGCGGTCACTTGCCTCGTCGCTTCGTTTTGGTGATTCTGCGTGGCTCCCTCCTTTTTGTTTTTTCTTTTCCGTCCTTTTTCCCGGTTTTTGTTGATTTGTTTTGTCCTTTTGATTTCTGACTGGCCCCAGTATTTTCTGCGCGGAGTGGTTGTGTGTATTTTGATTCAGGCACCAACCGGGGGGTCTTCATAGGCCGTAACCCACCACCTCGACCTCGACCTCGACCTCGACGTGCCCAATGGCCTGGCCGCAATTTCCAAAGTTCCTGCCGCTGGGTGGGGTCAGATCTTGGCTGGGGGCGCTGGGCTTGCTTGAGGCAGTGTTAAGACAATAGCAGTTTCAAATTTGACGCAGTGAGACAAAAAAGGGTGATGTGACATCTGCGAACCTCAAGTTCGTGTAATGCCCCCGCACTACACACCCAGCGGACTAACAACACAACCAATTGTTAGTCGCACATGCTCCGAACCTCCACGCGGTGTGCCCCGGTAACTCACCCCTTTTTTTGTGGTTCACCCCTGAGTGTCCCCGGCAGTTCGTCTGGTTGTCTGATGGTCACCGGTGTTTGCCTGACAGGTCACATTGACGCAGTCAAAGCTTTGATGTCCGCACGCAGTCGCACGATAGTTGATATAACGCACTTGTAGGGGGGCGGACAATAACACAAAGGTCGAGCGTATGCGCACGCATGGTCAGCCGTCATAGGGTGAGGCAAACGTCCTTCCTCTACAAGAGGTGGTCGGATTAACTCCGATCGACGGGGAGCAACGGGACGGGCGACTAGGTGTGGGGACTTGGGACAACGCCCACCTTGGGGACTCGGTGCGGCTCCGTCCTCTCCCCTCGACCTTCCGTTCCGGTAAGAGGCGGGTGGGCTCCGACTCTTCGAACTTTACGACGGGGGTCATCTTCGTGTACGGCAAAACAGACTAACCTTAGCCCCAAAAGGGTACAACCCATGGTTCTGCACACGTAGCTGTGCACATGCTCAAAGGGCCGGTACACGAGACAGAATGAAACGAAAGCGGACCTCACTCTCGAGCGTCACACACTGGGCCGCAGTAGGTTCTTCTCTCCTGTCTGGACGAACTTATGCGGACTCGCAGGTAGAAAGTCGTCAAACAATTCGACACAAACTTCGTGAACGACGAAAGCGGTTGGTTGGGCGGGGCTGGTTTCGTAAACGGCAGGCCCGAACACGTAAATGACGGGTCGGATCCGTATTGGGACGTGGAACGTGCGCAGGTTGGGAGCGGTCGGGGGAGCAGTAGATCCCGCCATGATGGCGTGACGGGATGTCATTCAAATACCGCTTGTAGGATTTCTTCTGGACACGTAGCTGGCGCGCGGTGGTTTCGTCTTGGACGTACGTGGTTCACATTTCGTGCACCCCCTGCACAAATTTGGGCTGACGTCCTCTGGCGTCGCGCGGCTTACCGCAAAGCCCAGCGTCCTTTGGCGCAGCACCCCGCACCGTGCACACCCCCCATTTGGGTCGACGTCCTCTGGCGTCAAGCGGCTTTCCGCAGGCCCGAGCGTCCTTTGGCGCCGCACCCCCGCACTTCCCCCTTTGCACTTTGCACCGTCAAGGTCGCGCACGGTCGTCGGTCCTGTCTGGTCCTTGTGCGTTGGTTTGGTGGGTTGTTCTGGTTGTGGTTCCCCTGGCCCCCTCCCGTCGACTTGTCTCGTCTGAGCTCTTATGTTTCAGCTGAATTGAACCTTGAAACCATTGAGTGCAAGCATGTTATACACACACTTGCAAATGTCATTGCCTTGACCGCACACGTTGAAGGCCTGTTCGGTAACGGCATGAAAGGGCTTGCTCTCTTGACCCCTAAGTGGAATGGCGTGGCAGAATCTGCATTTCATATCTACGACGGCACTGAGCAGTTGTCAGGCATGGTTGATAGCAGAATGGGTGCCGCACATTCCATCACTGGCTCTCAGCTGCTACAAAGCACCGACAGACCTCGCTCAACACCAACACAAAAAGTTGCAACACACTGCTGCCGCGGAAGCCTTGCTGAAGGTTGGCGACGTCAGCATGGACACCGCCAGGCGTGACCTTGACTTCTTGCTTCAACCCTAAAGAAGGGCAAGGACAAGGGCAGGGGAAAAGGCAAAGCTGCCGCGAAGGGCGAGAAGGGCGAGAAGGGCCACCAGCAAGGGCAACGCCCCGACAGGGAGCGCAGCCGGGGGAGGGAGGAGGCGGACGGGGTGGAGGAAGCCCTGAGACGGGCGGCCGAGGCGGCGCAGGCTGCCAGGGCGAACCCGGAGGGGTGATGCGGCGATCTAGCCGACCGGCCTTTTTGGCAGCACGCCCGATGCCGGTCACCAGCAGCCTCACTGGTTTTTTTTTTTGGGCACACAATGCCCCGGCACCGGTGCACAGTTTTTTTTCACTACTGCACGATGGGCTATAGCCCGTAATGATGGCGGACTACACTGGCGGGGTCTACTTCTTTTTGAGGCGGCAATTTGCCTCCGCTTGACCAACTGCTGCGAACTTCGTTTGCCACTGAAATCACACTCAATCTATCTATCTCTCCCTCTTCTCCTTACAATCTACTTCTTCAGAAAGGTCCGCTGACACACTGTCGGACACTTTCTCCGTCCCCAAGAGAGGGACCCCGAGCCCGAGCCTTGGGCTGTACCGGCCAGGCTTCCCTAAGGGAAGCTGTAGGTCGACTGCTGCTGCTGCTGATCTTGGCTGGGTTGCTTGGCGTGTGTGTGGGTTTTCTTTTTCTCTGTTTTTTCCTTGTTTTGTCTTTTCCTTTGTTACTGAACTCATGAAGAGATGAAATGAAGCAGCCAGCTGGCGCATTGATACTCCCTCTCATTGTGCCATCAGTGGACCATCGGCCGCCAACCGATGATCGCGCGTGCTCCAAACCTCCACGTGGTGCGCCCTGGAAACTCACCCCACATACGAGGTAGTCGTCGGATCCGGGTCACAAGGGGAGGACACACAGACAATTAGCAACAGAGATGAGGATGGAATCGAACCAAGGAACATCGAACGCGGAACAGACACAAACATCAGGAAAAGACTGACACAATCAGGAAATACATAGGGTGAGGCAAACGTCCCTCCTCTTAATAGAGGTGGTCGGTGTAGACCGACCGACGAGGAGCAACGGGGTAGATACCGGTTGAACATGGACTTGGGAAGACGGCCTCTTGGGGACTCGACGGCCAAACCACTTCCTCTCCGTGCTTCAGCCCTACTCCGGGTAGAGGCGGGTGGGCTCCGACTCTCCGAACTAATTGAGGAGAATGCCGATGGCAGGAAGTGAGCAGACATGGCCGAATCAACTCACGTGATAAACAACAATGAACTCCGCCCCATAGAACGCCATCATGCGCACACCAGCAGGCACAAATGGCAGGCCGAGCCGGTAGAAAACGCCGCCGAAAAGCGGCCACATACTGGGCCACCCTCGCAGCACAACTACTGACGGGTAGCACACATGGGCAAAACAGAAACGCGGTACTCCGGAAAGCCGACAAATTACGCAAACATAGACGAGTGCAATGGGGAAAGTTCTTAAAGCGGCACAAACAGACAAGACGAACTCACCATGACATACGCATAGGCACATGGAACACTCGCCGACTGGGCGCTGTGCACGGGCGGGTTGACGTCGCGACCAAACTTCGGCACATGGCAGAGGTCTGGCAGTTGCGAAAATGGGACGCAGCGCTACTACAAGATGTAACGTTGGGTGAAAGGGGACGAATGACGTTTAGCGCAAAGAAGGAAACATGGACGATCATACACAGGGGAAAAGTGGCCATAGCACTGGGAAACAACTACAACGACACACCATACACTGACAGCGTCCTTTGGCGCAAGGCGGTGTGTTGTTTCCAACCGACCTAGTGCCCTCTGGCACAAAACAGCGTCCTCTGGCGCAGTGCGGCTCTCCGCAAACAGTTCTGCCACCCCCCGGCGTACCAGACCGCGATTGATGTTTGAGATTTGAATTTCTGCCCCGGACCACTCCCCTACCCATTCCCCTAATGGTTCCAAGGCGTTACCGCCGCGGCACGAGCCCTGACAAACCATCTTTTTTAGTTTTTTGTTTGGCAGCTCCATGCACACCCTGACCCGCCGCCATCCCCTCGATATTTAGACCGTCCATTAGTTTTCTCGCGCTTGACACCCTGCCTACCCACAGTTTTGGTTTCACCGAGATGTACTGTGCCGGCTCTCGCTCTGCCTGCATGCGCACTGATGGCGTTAGCCAGGCGCCTTAATGGTGCTGCAGGCTCAACGAACGAACGAACGAACCCGGAAACGTCCATTGAAATGGAATGTGTTTGGGTGCGGGGTACCGAGCCCCAAGAAGGACACACGCCATGGCAGTGTTTGTCAAATAATTAATCCCCTTTTGGTCGGTATTTGGGTACGTTTGTGTTTGGAGTGGATTCGCTTTTGGGGCTGGTTTTGAAGGGGAATTAAAAGGAACAACCATCATTTTGGTGGGGTCCCCCTAAGGAAGACACCCAGAGGGTTCTAATTTTCTCTTGTTCGTTTTGGGAATTGATCATTACGGGATATAAGATCTCATTGTTTCCATTGGGCGAAAACAAGCAAATGGAAGCAAAAGGTAATGCTGAATTCACCTCTAGGAAGCCAGCTACAGGAGCTTCTACAAGCAACCCTTGGATGGTAATTGGCCAATATCCTGTAAAACACCGGACTTGTGTTATCTCACTCCGTGAGTTGATGGACTTTCGTCACCTTCGGAAGACCACTTTAGTGGAAAAACCAGAGCAAGTGAGTGATTGAATGGAAGACCCTATCCAAACCCCAAATCTCAAAACAAAAAGTTCAGGCTCTCTTCGGCCAATCGAGTGAAGTGTGCAGTCGTTTCTCAGGTTTGGCTTGCGGAAGCCTACTTGGGTGTTCGGCCAAGTAAGTTGTTAGTAACCTAAGTTATGACACACTTATAAGTCCCCCTAAGTGGGGGGTTAGCCTTGTTATTAGGGGGTTATAACCCAGGTAACCACTTACTAACCTGGCCGAACAGCCAAGTAAGGAACCTCTTCTAGGAGCCCCCCCTCCTCATCCCTCAATTCCCCATCCTGCAGGCGGGCTGTTTTTGGGGGATCCTCTTTTGGTCGGTTTTCAGTGGAAACCAAATCAAAACCAACGAAATCGAAATGCGGATGCGAACGATTTATGTGTAGTTTTGCAGGGGAGCCAAAGGGAATCACGTATTTTAGCGGAGGGAGCAACTGTTTCGAGACAAACCAGGGTATTCTTACTCTCATGTGGCAGTTGCCGT